TTCGTCCTTGCAAAAAGACATATCTAGGAAAATTAATAATGTTTCTTATGATTAGGTTGTCGTTATTAATTACTCCTGAGTAATTAACTTTCTTAGTTTGTAAATAAAACTGCCTGGTAGTTTTCAGGTATAATTTACAACCACTAATCAGCGCACTTTACAAAAAATAATGCACGCGCTAAATTTTACGGCGTCACATCTTAAAATTAACTAATATTAAAAGTGTTATCGCTCGAATGTAATTACGAACCTCATTGTACCCAACATAATTAATTTTTCTAAAAAGGCCTTTTGGCGGAAACCAATAGGACATTAAACATTTTTTATGTGCTATTCGTAGTTTTGCAGTAGCGATTTGGCCGGCGTTTCGAGAAACATCCTGTATATTGTTTAGTGCTCTAGTATGTAAATTAAGAAATGTATTGTCCTTGAAACATGTTTCCAACCGAAAGCTTTTTTACCTTCAAGGTGCAATTAAAATATCTTTTTTTTAAGTCTAAGACATAACATGTTATCATATTGTGCTTATCAATAAAAACAACTTGTTGCATCATTATGTATCCGTCAAAGGTACACCGTTTTAAGTTGTACTATCGGGTACAAATGACATACAGCGGAGCGCGTGGCCTGCGATACATGCTGGGCAACCTAGAGGCAATTAGAAACTGACAAAACTGCGGGTATAGAGGAGCTACGAGGGTATGCACATCAGAGTGAACCCCACAGCCCCCTTTACACACCGTAGCCATATCGGTTCCTAGTTGCCTCTAAAGAGTGCAGCATGTATCGGAAGCCACATCCTCCGCTGTTCGCATTTCATTCGTACTGATAGTACCTTTCACGCCGAATGTTTTTTGCACAAGGTCACACTTCAGATGCCCTACCGCCTGCCGTGTATTTTGTAAACAAAAAGTCTTCCAGAAATGTTTTCTATTTGTGCGCAAGTCCACATATTCTATTTGGCATTACAAGTGCACAGCCTATAAGCGGGTCAGTCCGCCTGACTGGGCGCGGCAATGAGCAGGGCAGCCAGTCGGCAGTTGGAAGCATTGAAATGCCGTGTCTACTCAGAGCGCCTCGTTGGCCTTCAGCAGGCCACGTAGAAGTGAAGGACTGTGGTCTTGTTCACTTGGACTCTCCAGAGGACCGCGCTTGTGTCCGAGGTTTGGGTGAAGAAAGAGCCGCCAGGTGTAGCTGTTGTCGTTGGTTGTCGGTTACTGTGCAGCGGACAGACCGGTTTGTCTCCTACCGTCCATGACAGGTTAAGAACCGAGTAGACGCTCCGCCTTTAGCGCGCGCTCGATGTCATCCCCGTAGTTTTGGCTGGGTATAAGACCAAGTGGTATCAAAGGAAGAAAGCTCGCGCACGAGGTGGAACGCCTACTGGGTTCTTAACTTGTCACCAACATCCGTTCTAATACATGGAAGAACTGCAAGTGTTACCAAATATCAGGTTTCCGTGTGCTTGCAGTTAACGTTAGGTGAACTCCGTAGTTCTCTCAATATTACCCATGCATAAAAGTCCGTGCGTTCGGTGGATATATTTGGTAAACATTTTTAGGTTTTAGTTTTTAGTTGGGGATCGGCGAAAGTCGGCGTTAATTAGGCTTACTTCTGTCAAATTGGAAGTTTTCTTAAATTCGACCGTTATCGAAGTGTAGTTCGGTCACAGCTCTTCGTATTCATCAATAAAATGAATAATATCCACCCACAAGCTAGCAAGGCACAAGAAAACTGTTTAAAGGCCGACCTGCGAAATACTTCTCAACGAAGCTGAAACTCCTCCTGGCCACCCTTTCTATTTCCCCCTCTCCCACTGCTATCTTGACGGCTGGGGGACTCCTTTTGTTGCTGCCCCTTGGGGCCGGATAAGCCGGGAGCTTATCCTGGCACATCTAGCCCCAAGATGCAGGAACAAAAAAAGTACCCCAGCCGTCAAGATAGCAGTGGGAGAGGGGGAACTGGGAAGGGTGGCGAGGAGAATTTTGCCCCTGGTTGAAAAATATTTGGCAGTTCGGTCTTTAATGAAGATCAACATTCACTAGAAATCTGCGAAAACATAAAAACACTGCCTATTACTCGTAAGAAATCAAAATGGTAGGGTTTAAACTGAATACAACAACTGCGGCAAAATTAGATATTTAATTCGATCCTGTCGTAACCCCGAATACCGCAGTGTTGACCAGTAGTTTTCAGCGGGCTTTCGCAAAGTGTCTATTGCGTGTCATTGGGCGCGTTAAGCACTCGAGTCCGCTCCAGCCGTCGGAGTGCACTCCAGGTAGCTAAACGACCAAAGCTAAACGACTTCTTATTATAAAACACGCTGGGGTAGCGATCGCAAGTGTCGGTCCCGGTGCTTAAAAAAAAAAAAAAAAAAAAAACACGTCTAACTAGCTTTTGCGATTATTCAAAGAACACGCTCTTAAACAAGAGGCACGGTAATTTACGGTAATTTTTTTTCCCTTAGTAAGATGTTTGGACATGCGCACGCAAAGAAACTTAAAAACAAAGTTAGATATAAAATATACAGTAGGTGGTAAATGACCTCAAGGATGACCTTAGGCAAGTACCTCGATTTGGAAGGCACATTTTAAGCAAAGTGTTTCTGGCGGAAAAGATAATGCAACAGGATTTAATGAATGACAGCAAAAACAAAAGTGGGCAGTCATTTCTCTGAATGTGAAGAAAATATAGATAGCCTTTTGTTTAATTTTTCTGAAGTTTATTCACATTTTTTTTAGACATGTTTTGAAAGCTGTATATATTTTAATTTACATACTAGACTAGGGGTGACCAAGCTGCGGCTCTTCGCGTGTTAAAGTGTGACAAGAGAAATGGAACGCGTTTTAAATCGAAAGACAGGTTGCGGTTTGGTAGTCATGTGACACTGCTACCTTACGTACAAATGGACTGCTGTTGACTCGGATAGATTGAAAGTAATTTAAGTTTCGTTTATTGCACAAAATCCCCCCCCCCCCCCTCCCGCCCTGCGGCTCTCGGAAGTTTCGTGGTTTTTGTTTGCGGCTCTTAGGCCGGGTCAGCCTGGCCACCCCTGTACTAGACCAATAGCTTATTTATCATTTTTTTAGCTTCGGCAAGAATATGTAAACCTTTCAAGTTGGTAGCTTAAAAACGTTACAAGATAATGGCTCAAAGAAGTAGTGCGAAAATGTCAAAGTAGCAAAGTTTGTACATCTTTAACACGCGCTGTACAGGGTGTTATTAGTCGTTCTAGAATAAAAAATAGAGGTATTTCGTTAAGGTTCTTTTATTCCTTGGGACAAGTTGGTGGCCATGATTACTAGAAAAACAAAGCAAAATAGGTTTACTAGGTAGCTAATTAAATTAAACGTTTTGATTAGCTTTTTAAAATTTTTATTTTGGGAGTCATAATGTATTTAGAGGACTGACGCATGACCTCAATGCGGTCTTGCAGAGTCTTGTAATTTTTATTAAAAAATTGTAGTGTACAAGTGTGACATTAAAAAATGTCACCCTTGTACACAGCTTCCAATCAAAATTAATGTCCATCCCTCCTCTCTCCGCCGACGCTGCTTACGTGTCCTCGCCGCTGGTGCGCTGGTGCTCTTTGACTGCTTAGTTCTGTTTTGAAGTCGTGTAAACGCGTCACATTTCTTGCACCGTAGCGCCCACTACACATTTTCTATCGAACTTTCGCAGCACGGCTAGACCTATGAGGGGCGTTCATAAAGTTCGTATTTTTGTCATAAAGGAATATAAATTCAACAATGAAACTCGGGTACGAGTTTCATTGCTAAATGTCTTCATGCTTTTTCTTCATATTCGCTACATCTTTGCCACCAAATGTCACGCACTTTTGCTAGCAATGGACAACCTGCCGGAGGTTGTCCATTGCTGAACACTCAAAACAATTCGTTTTGAGTGTTCAGGAATCGCTCAACTTCAGCAATCACTCGGTCGTCGTCCTTGTAACGCTTTCAGGCTTGTCTGCCCACACTAGAAGCTTATGCGCCATTTACCACAGTATCACGAACTGGGGCGTTGTCCCCGAGCACCGCCACCATCTGGGAATGAATCTCCTTGGCATTATATTCCTTCAAATAAGAAACCAGATCATTGCACGCTTCGACTTTCTTGACGGGCGGTGACATTTTTGTTGCGACACCCTAGCGGCATTCCGCGGTACTATAGCACGCGATGTTTATACTGTGGCAAAACTAGAGGGACGCGCGCTCGTGTTAATGCCTGTTTTGTTCCCCTTTTTTTAATGTTTGGTTCCGATAATACGAACTTTATAAACGCCCCTCGTCCAGCGTCTATTGTCTAAATGCATTATGCACCCAAAAGTGAAAATTAAAGCTGATTTAACTTTTTTGCTTAAATAAGTATTAACCAATTTTGCCTCGTGTTTAGTGGCCGTCATAATCACTAATTTGACCCCAGGGCTAAAAGAACCATAACGCAAGTTTCCTCTCTAAACATTCTAGACCAGCCAAAACACACACTATAGCTTTCACAACTGTTTAAACACTTGAATCAATAGTGGCCATCAGTTACGAGTCAAGTAAAATAGTTGAACATGATCTGCCATCAAACTTGACAAGAACAAACCAACTCCAAAATGGGGTTGCCGTCTTGGTAAGTTGAGAATTCGTTTCTTCTCGACAAGATTTTCTTCTTGTAAAACACTTCTTCAGTATGTCTCCCTTAAAAATTCGAAAGAAAAACATATAACAATATTACTGAAATACCAATTGCTACCGTACTTGTTTGCGTGATTTTACAGGAAAGAAGTTCTAAGTTATGTTTTTTTTTCTAATTTCATTTTCACTCAAACATATTTCACCTTATCTATACGTTTCTACTTTGTAAAATTACAACACATTTTCTAGACAATACCTCAAAATCAGCAGCACTTTATCGAAAGCTTTTTTGTTTGTTAAACAGAACATTGAGAGCGGGTATAACAGACAAGAGATCTCGTTAAACTAAGAAGAAAAACCGATATATAATTTCAGAAACGGCTGCCGAACTTGAAGATGCCCCAGATATGACGAAACATGCAAAACCAGTGCTGGAACAACAGCAAGGCCTTCTTGTAGAAGACGTTGTGCCAGGAACTTCTACACTAGACGTCATGCCTACGGTCATGCCACAGCAAAGACAAGCGGTGTCCCAAATTCAACCACTTACTCCATTGCATGTTGAAGAAACTAGCGTGAATCTGACAACGAGAACGTTAGACACCCCCACCGCCTCTGAAGCCACGGCAAAAATAGACATGACGGCATCATGGGGAGTTGAAGTAATAGAGGCGACGCCGGTATTGACTGAACAAGAACTCAAAACGGAAGCTCTTCAGGGCCAAGTGATGCCGACCACCTCTATTTCAACAATTGAAGCTCTCGCCATTTCAACTGTAGAAACCGCTCTAAAAGAAGCCCAACTTGCTCAACCCAAATTTCCAGGAACCTTAATTGCTCCATACTCACTTTCAACTGTGGATTCTGTGGAAGTAGTGGAAACGGAGGCCTTAACAAAAGAAACTGAACTGCAACTCGGCAAGATACACACCACGGAATGCATCACCTCATCAACGGCACCAGAGCGGCCTCTTGTTATCTCTGAAGTTGCTTTGCTGACACGGGAGGACGTACTTATTTCCGAGAAAGTACCGCCAGAAGTAACTGTTCAGTCGAAGATTATCATGCACGAATACCTTACGGTTTCTGAAATGCCCGCTCTTTTTAGAGAAAGTCAGCTTCCTCCAGAGGAAGTGCTAAGTGAAACTCAAGCGCCATTTAGTATGCCTGCTGAGGAACACATGAGCATTCTTGACATGCCTGTTTTTATGAAAGAGGACGAGCTTACGATCGAAAAACATCCGCAGAGTACAAGTGCTCCAGTTACTGTGGAAACACAGCAACACATAACCGTGGCTGAGGCTCCCAACTTCGATATGGAAGAAAACTTGATACAGGAGAAAGCACCCCGGGAGCTTACGGCTGTATCTACTTTTCCATCGGATCATTCACTAGTGATATCCGAAATATCTTTATTAAGCAAAGAAGGTGATCTGGAAACCGAGATGTTGCCTAATCAAGTGGTTCTTTCTTTTAAAATGCCGACGGAAGAATCTGTGAATATTTCTGAAAATATTGTACTTGGGAAGGAAGAAGAACTAAAAAGTGATCTCTTACCAAAGGAAATTAGTGCTAAATGTATTGTACCTGCAGACGAAGGTATATCAGTTCTAGATGTTCCAACTTTTACAAAAGAACGTGATCTCGCAATAAAAAAGCCACAAGAAGCTTTAGCAGATATATCCCTACCAACCGAGGAATCTGTTAGTGTCGTGCAGCAAGATATTTGGACAAAGGAAACATCCTACCTTCCAGAAAAACAACCAGAAGGCGTCCTGGCGAAAATCGATGTACCATCACTTGAATCATTATCGATCACCGATACACCACTATTACATAAAGAAGGTCAGCTTGATACAACTAAATTACCAAGTGAAATTACAGCACCTTTCACACTAATATGCAAGCAACACGTTTTAATATCTGAGACAACCTCGGACGAGAAAGAGGGAGAGTACTTTCCACAAAAACCATCTGGCGAAGTTAAAGCTCCATTCACCCTCCCCACAGAAGAACACCTTACAATAGAAGAGGTCTTACCCGAGGCAAAAGAAACTGAATTATTAGAAAGAATGCAACCATCCGCAAAACAAGCCGTGTCAAGTTTAAAAACTGCAGAATCTGTTGAAATAACACAGCAGCTGTCTTGGAATAAAGAAGAAACGCTTTCAAAAGAAGCTACTCCTACAGCAGTAACAGCTCCAACTATCCTACCAACTCAACAGCATGTTATCGTATCCGAACTCTCATCTATGGATAGAGAAGAAGAGTTTCAATCCAGGAAATTACCTGGGGAAGTTACAGCACCATTTTCAGTACCATTTGAAGAGTCTGTGACTGTTGAAGAAATGCAGATCCTTACAAAAGAGACTGAACTTAAGATCAAGGACTTACCTGAGAAAATCACTGCACCATTTACCATACCAACAGAGCAGCATGTTGTGATCTCTGAGCTTTCTAGCCTTGACAGAGAGGAAGCATTTCCTTCAAGCAAACTTCCAAGTGAAATGACGGCACCATTCTCGTTGCCAGTTGAAGAGCCTTTATCTGTTGAAGAAATACAAGTTCTGACCAAAGAATCTGAACTTAAACATAGAGACTTGCCAACAGAAGTCACCGCACCATATACTTTACCAACACAACAGCATGTTATAGTGTCTGAGATTCAATCCGTTCACAAAGAGGATGAGCTCCAGCCCAGCACAGCTCCAGGTGGAGTGATTGCACCTTTCTCAGTGTCACTAGAAGACTCTGTCACTATTCAAGAAGTTCAAACATTGATAAAGGAATCTAAATTGAAGATTACTGACTTGCCTGCAGAAGTAACTGCACCATTTACCATACCAACGCACCAACATGTTGTCGTATCTGACCTGTCTTTCCTTGATAGTGAGGTGGAGCTTCAGCCGTGTAAAGCTCAGGATGAAGAGAAAGCATTATTTACAATACCATTCGAAGAGTCTGTGACTGTTGAGGAAACCCACTTGCTTCTTAAGGAATCAGAACTCAAAGCCAAAACCTTGCCTACCAAAATTACTGCACCATTTACAATACCAACTGAACGCCATGTTATGGTATCTGGCCTTTCTACTCTAGATAAAGAAGAACCATTTCAACATAAAAAAGCTCCTTCTGAAGTGACGGCACCTTTCTCGGTACCACTTGAGGAATCCGTTATTGTCGAAGAAACTCAGACGTTAACTAAGGAATCTGAACTGACAGTCAAGGACTTGCCAGCACAAGTCACTGCACCCTTCACACTGGGAACACAACACTATGTTGTTGTATCTGAACTTTCTTCACTAGACAAAGAGAAAGAGTTTCAGACTGGCGGAGCTCCTGGTGAAGTGACAGCACCATTTACTGTACCGCTTGAGGATTCCATAACTGTACAAGAAACTCATACCTTATCCAAGGAATCTGAACTCAAAATCAAGGACTTACCAATTGAAACTACTGCGCCATTTACTGTCCCAACAGAGCAACATGTCGTTGTGTCCGAGCTGTCGTCCTTGGACAAAGAAGAAGAATTTCAACCTCATAAAAAGCCTGACGAAGTAACTGCACCTTACTCTATTCCATTCGACGAGTCCATAACCATAGAGGAAACTCAGCTTCTAACAAAAGAATCAGAGCTTAAAGAAAAGGACACGCCTGCAGAATTTACTGCATTATTCAGTATACCAACAGAACAACATGTTTTGGTGTCGGCGTTCCCCTCACTTGATAAAGAGAAAGAATATCACCCTAAAAAACTCCCTGACGGAGTGACTGCACCATTTACTGTATCACTTGAAGAGTCAGTTACTGTTGAAGAAGCTCAGATCTTAACCAAAGAAGACGTACTGAAGGTCAAGGAGTTACCAACAGAAAACAATGCGTCATTTACCATACCAACAGAGAAACATGTTATTGTGTCTGAACGTTCGTTCTTGGATAAAGAGAAGGAGTTTCAGCCTGGTAAAGTTCCCGCTCAGGTGACTGCACCCTATTCATTTTCACTTGAAGAACCTTTAACTGTAGAAGAAACCCAAAGTTTAACAAAAGAATCAGAACTTATACCCCAAGATATGCCTACAGAACTGACTGCACCGATGACGCTACCAACAGAGCAGCATATTGTTGTGTCAGAACTAGCCTTTTTAGATAAAGAAGATGACTTCCAACCTGGAAAAATTCCAGATGAAGTCACTGCACCTTTCACAGTGCCACTTAAAGAGTCTTTAACTGTTGAAGAAGTGCACATTCTAACAAAAGAGTCTGAATTGAAAGTCAAAGAGTTGCCTGCAGAAATAACGGCTCCATTTACAATTCCTACAAAGAAACATGTCATGGTGTCTGAGCTTCCATCTTTAGACAAAGAGGAAGCATTTTTACCGGGTAAGCTTCCCGGCCAAATAACGGCACCATACTCAGTTTTACTTAAAGAGTCTGTAGGTGTTGAAGAAACTCACAGTTTGACTAAGGAAGCAGAACTGACGGTTGAAGGATTACCATTAGAAGTAACTGCACCATGTGCTATTCCAACCGAGCAGCATATCGTAATATCTGAACTTTCCTTCTTTGACAAAGAAGAAGTCTTACAACCTAAAAAGATTCCAGGAGGAGTAACTGCACCCTATTCAGTGCCACTTGAAGAGTCTGTATCCATAGAAGAAGTCCACAGCCTAACAAAAGAGTCTGAACTAAAAGCCAACGACTTGCCTACAGAAATAACTGCTCCATTCACAATTCCCACAGAGAAACATATTGTGGTGTCGGAGCTTCCATCTTTAGACAAAGAGAAAGAAATTGTATCAGAAAGACTTCCCGGTCAAATCACGGCGCCATACTCAGTTGTACTCAAAGAATCTTTAGGTGTTGAAGAAACTCACAGTTTGACCAAGGAATCAGAACTAACGGTTGAATGTTTACCAACAGAAGTAACGGCACCGTTTGTTATACCAACCGAGAAACATGTTGTGATATCCGAGCTTTCCTGTCTTGACAAAGAGGAAATATTACAGCCTGAAAAGAGTCCAAATGAAATGAGTGCACCATTCTCAGTGCCACTTGAAGAGTCTGTAACCGTAGAAGAAGTGCATACTTTAACCAAAGAGTCTGAACTGAAAGCCAAAGACGTGCCTACAGAAATAAATGCTCCATTCACAGTTCCCACAGAAAAACACATTATAGTGTCTGAGCTTCCGTCATTAGACAAAGAGGAAGAATTTGTACCAGGAAGACTTCCCGGTGAAATTACGGCACCATGCTCAGTTTTACTTGAAGAGTCTCTACGTGTTGAAGAAACTCACAGTTTGACCAAGGAAGCAGAATTGGCAGTCGAAGGTTCACCATCAGAAGTAACTGCACCCTTTATTATACCAACCGAACAGCATGTCGTGATATCCGAGTTTTCCTCTCTTGACAAAGAGAACATTTTTCTGCCTGAAAAATTTCCAGACGAAGTAACCGCACCCTTCTCAATGCCACTTGACGAATCATTAACTGTTGAAGAAACTCAAATTTTAACAAAGGAAACTGATCTTAAATTGAAAGACTTGCCAGCAGAGATCACTGCACCATTTACTTTCTCTACTGAGCACCACATTCACGTTTCCTCTTTTTCATCTTTAGACAAAGAGGATGAATTTGTTCCTGGTAAGATTCCAGGTGAAGTAACTGCACCCTTCTCAATACCACTCAAAGAGTCAGTAACTGTTGCACAAACTGATGTCTTAATGAAGGAATCAGAATTGGCACTTATAGATATGCCAACAAAGTTAACAGCACCTTTTACGGTTTCAACAGAACAGCACATGGTAGTGTCAGAATTTTCATCGCTAGACAAAGAAGACAACCTCCAGCATGACAAAACCCCAGGTGAAGTGACTGCACCTTTCTCAGTACCATTAGAAGAACCTATAACTGTTGAAGAAATACAAACTTTAACAAAAGAGTCAGAACTGAAAATAACAGACTTACCAACTGAGATCAATGTACAATTTACAGTACCAACAGAGAAACATCTAGTAGTGTCTGAACTTTCGTTCCTCAACAAAGAAGAAGCGATTTTGCCTTATAAAATGCCTGGTGAAGTTACAGCACCTTACTCAGTGTCACTTGAAGAATCTCTTACTGTGGAAGAAGCTAATACTTTTACAAAAGAATCGGACCTACCAACCAAAAGCTTACCGGCGACAGTAAAAGCGCCATTTACCGTACCGACAGAGGAGCACATTGTGATATCAGAGCTTTCGTCATTAGATAAAGAGGAATCTTTTCAACCTAGCACGGTTCCAGATAAAGTGTCTGCACCCTTTTCAGTTCCACTTGAAGAATCTGTAACTGTTGAAGAAGCGCAAGTGCTAACAAGAGAGTCGGAGCTTATGCCAAAGGATTTGCCAGAAGAGGTCACTGCAGAGTTCAGTATGCCGACGCAACAGCACGTTGCGGTCTCTGAATATTCTTCTCTGCAAAAAGAGGAAGACTTTTTGTCGGGAAAACTCCCCGACGAACAATCGGCACCATACTCAATGCGTCTTGAGGAGTCTATAACTGTTGAACAGACACATTTTCTCACAAAGGAATCTGAACTACATGTTAGAGCCATGCCCACAGAACTTACAGCACCATTCACTATATCCACACAGAAGCACGTCGTAGTGTCTGAGCTTTCTTCTCTGGAGAAAGAGGAAGAGTTTCTGACTGGCAAACTTCCTCGTGAAATTACCGCACCTTGTTCATTTCCACTTGAAGAGTCTTTGAACATTGAGGAAACACGCAGTCTTACAAAAGAATCTGATTTACAGCTAAAAGACTTCCCTTCCGAGGTTAGTGCACCATTTACCATGCCAACTGAGCAACATGTAGTGGTATCTCATGTTTCCACTCTAGAGAACGAGGAAGAGTTCCAATCGGATAAACTTCCGATTGAAGTAACCGCTCCATGTTCAGTCTCACTTGAAGAGTCTGTAACAGTCCAGGAAGCACAGTCCTTTTTAAAAGAAATTCAATTTCAGACGAAAGACAGGCCTACAGAGGTTACAGCACAATTTACTATACCAACAGAACAACATGTTTTAATATCACAACTTCGTTGCTTAGATAAAGAGGAAGATCTTCATCCTGATAAAGTTCCTAGTGAGATTACAGCACCTTATTCTGTTTCACTTGAAGAGTCAGTCACCATTGAAGAGATGCGCATTCTTTCAAAAGAGTCTGATTTGGAAGCCAAAGATAAGCCTACAGAGGTTACTGCGCCATTCACTATACCAACAGAGCAGCATATCTTGGTATCCGAACTTCCCTCCCTTCAAAAAGAGGAAGAGCTTCAACCGGATAAACTTCCCTTAAAAGTGACTGCACCCTACTCTCTCTCACTTGAAGAGTCTTTAACAATTGAGGAAACGCACTCCTTGACTAAAGAATCGCAATTTAAACCAGAAGACTTACCAGCCTACATAAGTGCAAGTTTCAGCCTTACTCCACAAGAACCAATTACTGTTCTTGAATTTCATGTGGAACAATCGGCCGATGAGTTTTATAATGAAATTACAACAGAGCGAGTAGAGGAAATTAAAACAAGAGATTTTTCTCCTATTCTAGATGAGAGGACCCATGAAGTATCTGTTCAAGATACACTAACAGAAAGTGCTGTTGATACAAAAGATTATATACAAGAAGTAAAAATCCGCAAGAAACCAAAAAGTAAAAAAGATGACAGTGTAACAATACAAGAAATGACAGAAGAAGATACTCATCCAGAAGATGCATCAACATGCGTTGTGGTTGAAGAAGAAATATTGGATCAATCAGAAATTGGAATTGAAATCAAAAAGAAAACTAAAAAGAAATCTGTGAGGTTTGAAGACAGTTCAGGAATTCAAGAAGTAACAGAGGTATTACACACATTCTCAAGGACAACACCTGAAGCGACACCTTTCCTTATTGAAGATGTTACAGAAGAATATGCGCATGCGCCGGATCAAACGGAAAACGAAAATGAGCAGCCAATTGTAGAAGAGTTTGAGGATGAAAAACCCTCCGAAAAAGTGAAAGAAAAGAAAAAGAGGAAACCTATGAAAACGAAAGAGATTCCCGATACACTGGAGACTACTGAAATTATGCTTAAACCTAAAGCTGATGAGCTGAAGGAACAAGAAGAAGAACTAATTCAAGAAGATAGAACTATAGAAGAGACAACTGATTTCACGATAGAAATGAAAAAGAAACCAAAAGAAAGTCAAGACATTGAAATCACCGTTATGTCCACAGAGCTACCTCAAGTCGATGTTAGCCAGACCGTCAAAAAGTCTATTCAGGTGGAAAGCATCGAAATGCCTGTCAAGATGGACGAGGAACAACCCGAAGAAAGACCAAAAGAGAAAAAGAAAAAGAAAAGGACTCTTTTGAAAGAAGAGAAACCAGACATAACAAAGATAGAGCTGAAGCCTATTGAACAGAAGCTCGAAGAAATAATGGAAAAAGTGGACGTTGTGCAAGAAGTTCTAGAAGTTGAGGAAGTGACTGATTTTGTCATAGAAGTTAAAGGAAAACCAAAACCCAAAGAGGAAGTAGAGATTTCAGTTACATCAAAGGAAGTCCCCGATTTCGAAGTTGAGCAGGTCATTGAACAGCAAATTGAGGTTGAAAGTATTGAAAAACCAGAAGACAAGTTGGAAGAGAAGCCTGAAGAAAAGCCAAAAGAAAAGAAGAAGAAAAAGAAACCACTTAAGAAAGAGGAAGAGAAACCAGACATGGCGGAGATAGAGCTGAAGCCTACAGAACAGAAGCTCGAAGAAATAATAGAAAAAGTGGACGTTGTGGAAGAAATTCTGGAAGAAGTTGAGGAAGTGACCGATTTTGTCATTGAAGTTAAAGGAAAACCAAAACCCAAAGAGGAAGTAGAGATTTCAGTTACATCAAAGGAAGTCCCCGGTTTCGAAGTTGAGCAGGTCATTGAACAGCAAATTGAGGTTGAAAGTATTGAAAAACCAGAAGACAAGTTGGAACAGAAGCCTGAAGAAAAGCCAAAAGAAAAGAAGAAGAAAAAGAAACCACTTAAGAAAGAAGATGACAAACCAGATATGGCTGAGATAGAGCTGAAGCCTACAGAACAGAAGCTTGAAGAAATAATAGAAAAAGTGGACGTTGTGGAAGAAGTTCTGGAAGAAGTTCAGGAAATCACTGATTTTGTCATAGAAGTTAAAGGAAGACCAAAGCCCAAAGAGGAAGTTGAGATTTCAGTTACATCAAAGGAAGTCCCCGATTTCGAAGTTGAGCAGGTCATTGAGCAGCAAATTGAGGTTGAAAGTATTGAAAAACCAGAAGACAAGTTAGAAGAGAAGCCCGAAGAAAAGCCAAAAGAAAAGAAGAAGAAAAAGAAACCACTTAAGAAGGAAGAGGAGAAACCCGACATGGCTGAGATAGAGCTGAAGCCTACAGAACAGAAGCTCGAAGAAATAATAGAAAAAGTGGACGTTGTGGAAGAAATTCTGGAAGAAGTTGAGGAAGTGACCGATTTTGTCATTGAAGTTAAAGGAAAACCAAAACCCAAAGAGGAAGTAGAGATTTCAGTTACATCAAAGGAAGTCCCCGGTTTCGAAGTTGAGCAGGTCATTGAACAGCAAATTGAGGTTGAAAGTATTGAAAAACCAGAAGACAAGTTAGAACAGAAGCCTGAAGAAAAGCCAAAAGAGAAAAAGAAGAAAAAGAAACCACTTAAGAAAGAAGATGACAAACCAGATATGGCTGAGATAGAGCTGAAGCCTACAGAACAGAAGCTTGAAGAAATAATAGAAAAAGTGGAAGCTGTGGAAGACGTTCTCGAAGAAGTTCAGGAAATGACTGATTTTGTCATAGAAGTTAAAGGAAAACCAAAGCCCAAAGAGGAAGTTGAGATTTCAGTTACATCAAAGGAAGTCCCCGATTTCGAAGTTGAGCAGGTCATTGAGCAGCAAATTGAGGTTGAAAGTATTGAAAAACCAGAAGTCGAGTTAGAAGAGAAGCCCGAAGAAAAGCCAAAAGAAAAGAAGAAGAAAAAGAAACCACTTAAGAAGGAAGAGGAGAAACCCGACATGGCTGAGATAGAGCTGAAGCCTACAGAACAGAAGCTCGAAGAAATAATAGAAAAAGTGGACGTTGTGGAAGAAGTTCTCGAAGAAGTTGAGGAAGTGACTGATTTTGTCATAGAAGTTAAAGGAAAACCAAAGCCCAAAGAGGAAGTTGAGGTTTCAGTTACATCAAAGGAAGTCCCCGGTTTCGAAGTTGAGCAGGTCATTGAACAGCAAATTGAGGTTGAAAGTATTGAAAAACCAGAAGACAAGTTGGAAGAGAAGCCTGAAGATAAGCCTGAAGAAAAGCCAAAAGAAAAGAAGAAGAAAAAGAAACCACTTAAGAAAGAAGAGGAGAAACCAGATATGGCTGAGATAGAGCTGAAGCCTACAGAACAGAAGCTCGAAGAAATAATAGAAAAAGTGGAAGCTGTGGAAGAAGTTCTCGAAGAAGTTGAAGAAGTGACTGATTTTGTCATAGAAGTTAAAGAAAAACCAAAGCCCAAAGATGAAGTAGATATTTCAGTTACATCAAAGGAAGTCCCCGATTTCGAAGTTGAGCAGGTCATTGAACAGCAAATTGAGGTTGAAAGTATTGAAAAACCAGAAGACAAGTTGGAAGAGAAGCCTGAAGAAAAGCCAAAAGAAAAAAAGAAGAAAAAGAAACCACTTAAGAAAGAAGAGGAGAAACCAGATATGGCTGAGATAGAGCTGAAGCCTAGAGAACAGAAGCTCGAAGAAATAATAGAAAAAGTGGACGTTGTGGAAGAAGTTCTCGAACAAATTGAGGAAGTGACTGATTTTGTCATAGAAGTTAAGGAAAAACCAAAACCTAAAGAGGAAGTAGAGATTTCAGTTACATCAAAGGAAGTCCCCGATTTCGAAGTTGAGCAGGTCATTGAACAGGAAATTGAGGTTGAAAGTATTGAAAAACCAGAAGACAAGTTGGTAGAAAAGCCCGAAGAAAAGCCAAGAGAGAAAAAGAAGAAAAAGAAACCTCTTAAGAAAGAAGAAGACAAGCCAGACGTGGCTGAGATAGAGCTGATGCCCACAGAACAGAGGCTCGAAGAAATAACAGAGAAAGTGGACGTTGTGGAAGAAGCTCTCGAACAAGTTGCGGAAGTGACAGATTTTGTCATAGAAGTAAAAGAAAAACCGAAACCCAAAGACGAAATAGAGATTTCAGTTGCATCAAAGGAAGTCCCTGAAGTTGAAGTTGAGCAGGTCATTGAACAGAAAATTGAGCTTGAAAGTATTGAAAAACCAGAAGACAAGTTAGTAGAGAAGCCCGAAGAAAAGCCAAAAGAAAAGAAGAAGAAAAAGAAACCACTTAAGAAGGAAGAGGAGAAACCAGACATGGCTGAGATAGAGCTGAAGCCTACAGAGCAGAAGCGCGAAGAATTAATAGAAAAAGTGGACGTGGAAGAAGTTCTCGAAGAAGTTGAGGAAGTGACTGATTTTGTCATAGAAGTTAAAGGAAAACCAAAGCCCAAAGAGGCAGTTGAGGTTTCAGTTACATCAAAGGAAGTCCCCGATTTCGAGGTTGAGCAGGTCATTGAACAGCCAATTGAGGTTGAAAGTATTGAAAAACCAGAAGACAAGTCTGAAGAAAAGCCAGACGAAACACCAGAAGAAAAACCTAAAGAGAAAAAGAAGAAAAAGAAGACCCTTAAAAAAGAACAGGAGAAACCGGACGTGGCTGAGATAATGTTGAAACCGACTGAAAAGCAGGAAGAAATAACAGAAAAAGTGGACGTCATCAAAGAAGTTCTCGAACAAGTTGAGGAAGGGACTGATTTTCTCATTGAAGTAAAAGAAAAGACAAAACCGAAAGACGAAGTTGAAATATCATTGACATCAAAGGAAGTCTCCGAAGTCGAAGTTGATCAGGTCATAGAACAACCAATCGAGATGAAAAGTATTGAAAAACCAGAAGAAAAGCCCGAAGACAAACCAAAAGAGAAAAAGAAGAAAAAGAAACCCCTTAAGAAAGATGAGACACCAGAAGTAACTGAAATAGACCTAAAGCCAGCAGACGAAAAATTGCAGGAAATGCCAGAGAAGGTTGAAACAGTTGAAGAGGTCATTGAACACGTCGAAGAGGTCAGAGACATTGTCATAGAAGAGAAAGAAAAACCCAAGCCGAAGGAGAAAATTGAACCAACCGTGATATCAAAAGAACAAGATCTAGAGGTCGAGCAGATCATTGAGAAGCCGGTTGAAGTTGAAAGCGTAAAGAAAGAAGAAAAACAAGAAAAGCCAGAAGAAAGGCTAGAAGAAAAACCCGAAGAAAAACATGAAGAAAAGCCGAAGGAGAAAAAGACGAAAAAGAAGTCCATTAAGAAAGAAAAGCCTGAAGTGACAGAAATTGTCTTGAGGCCAGCCGAAGAAAAACCAGTGGAAATGCCAGAGAAGGCTGAAACTGTCGAAGAGGTCACTGAACAGGTTGAAGAGGTCACAGACGTTGTCATAGAAGTGACAGAAAAGCCTAAACCACAAGAAACTGAAGTAACCGTTTTTTCAGAAGACCAACCAGACATTGAAGTGAAACAGATAATTGAGAAGCCGATTGAAGTTGAAAGCAGTGGGAAAGAAGAGGAAAGACCAGAAGAAAAGCCAGAAGATAAACCCGAAGAAAAGCCGAAAGAGAAAAAGAAGAAAAAGAAGTCCATTACGAAAGAAGAGGAAAAACCTGAAGTAGCAGAAATAGTCTTGAGGCCATCAGAAGAAAAACCAGTGGAGATGCCAGAGGAGTTTGAAACTGTTGAAGAGGTCACTGAACAAATTGAAGAAATCAGAGAAATCACAGAAGTGAAAGCAAAACCTAAACCAAAAGAAGAAACTGAAGTAATTGTTACTTCAGAAGACCAGCCAGATCTGGAAGTAAAGCAGATTATTGAGAAGCCAATTGAAGTTGAAATCACTGAGACAGAAAAGGAAACACCAAAAGAAAAGCCAGAAGAAAAGCCAGAAGATAAACCTGAAGAAAAGCCCGAAGAAAAGCCGAAAGACAAAAAGAAGAAAAAGAAGTCCATTAAGAAAGAAGAAGAAAAACCTGAAGTAGCAGAAATAGTCCTGAGGCCAAGAGAAGAAAAAACAGTGGAAATGCCAGAGAAGACCGAAACTGTTGAAGAGGTCATTGAACAGTTTGAAGAGGTCTCAGATGTTGTCATAGAAGTGAAGGAAAAACCCAAACCAAAAGATGAAATTGAAGTGACCGTTATTTCAGAAGACCAACCAGATCTTGAAGTGAGGCAGATAATTGAGAAGCCGATTGAAGTGGAAAGCGTTCAGAAAGAAGAGGAAAGACCAGAAGAAAAGCCAGAAGATAAACCTGATGAAAAGCCCGAAGAGAAGTCGAAGGAGAGAAAGAAAAAGAAGTCAATTAAGAAAGAGGAAAAACCTGAAGTAGTAGAAATAGTTCTGATGCCAACAGAAGAAAAACCTGTGGAAATGCCAAAGAAGACCGAAACTGTTGAAGAGGTCACTGAACAGGCTGAAGAGGGCACAGACGTTGTCATAGAAGTGAAGGAAAAACCCAAACCAATAGATAAAATTGATGTAACCATTATTTCAAAAGACCAACCAGATCTTGAAGTGAGGCAGATAATTGAGAAGCCGATTGAATTTGAAAGCATTGAGAAAGAAGATAAAAGACCAGAAGAAAAGCCAGAAGAAAAGCCAGAAGATAAACGTGAAGAAAGGCCCGAAGAAAAGCCTAAGGAGAAAAAGAAGAAAAAGAAGTCCATTAAGAAAGAAGAGGAGAAACCTGAAGTGGCAGAAATAGTTCTCAGGCCGGAAGAAGAAAAACCAGTGGAAACGCCAGAGGAGGGTGAATATGTTGAAGAGGTTGCTGAACAAGTTGAAGAGGTCAGAGACGTTGTCATGGAAGTGACGGAAAAACCTAAACCAAAAGAAGAAACTGAAGTAACCGTTATATCAGAAGACCAACCAGATATGGAAGTGAAGCAGATAATTGAGAAGCCGATTGAAGTTGAAAGAATTGAGAAAAAAGAGGAAAGACCAGAAGAAAAACCAGAAGAAAAGCCAGAAGATAAACCTGAAGGAAAGCCCGAAGAGAAGCCGAAGGAGAAAAAGAAGAAAAAGAAGTCTATTAAGATAGAAGAGGAAAAACCTGAAGTAGAAGAAATTGTCCTGAAGCCAGCAGAAGAAAAACCAGTAGAAATGCCAGAGAAGGTTGAAACGGTTGAAGAGGTCACTGAACAAATTGAAGAGGTCAGAGACGTCAAAGAAGTGAAGGAAAAACCTACACCAAAAGAAATTGAAGTAACTGTTACTTCAGAAGACCAGCCAGATCTGGAAGTGAAGCAGATTGAGAAGCCGATTGAAGTTGAAAGCATGGAGAAAGAAGAAAGACCTGGAGAAAAGCCAGATAAAGTAACTGAAGAAAAACCAGAAGAAAAGCCAGAAGAAAAGCCGAAGGAGAAAAAGAAGAAAAAGAAGTCCATTAAGAAAGCAGAGGAAAAACCTGAAGTGGCAGAAATAGTTCTGAGGCCGGAAGAAGAAAAACCAGTGGAAATGCCAGAGAAGGGTGAATCTGTTGAAGAGGTTGCTGAACAAGTTGAAGAGGTCAGAGACATTGTCATGGAAGTGAAGGACACACCTAAGCCAAAAGAAGACATTGAAGCAACTGCTATTTTAGAAGACAAACCAGATCTAGAACTCAAGCAGATAATTAAGAAGCCGATTGAAGTTGAAAGCATAGAAAAAAAAGAGGAAAGACCTGAAGTAAGGCCAGAAGAAAAAACTGAAGAAAAGCCAGAAGAAAAGCCTAAGGAGAAAAAGAAGAAAAAGAAGTCTGTTAGGAAAGAAGAGGAAAAACCTGAAGTGTCAGAAGTAGACCTGAGTCTAACAGAAGAAAAACCAATGGGAATCTCAGAGAAGGTTAAACCTGTTGAAGTGGTCACTGAAGAAGCTGGGGACGTGCCAGGCTTTCTCAAAGAGTTGAAAGACAAACCCAAGCCGGAAGAAGAGCTAGAAGTAACCGTGAGTTCAGAAGAAAGGCCAAGTGTAGAGATAAAGCAAACTATTGAGAAACCGATTGAGGTTGAAAGCACTGGGAAGCCAGACGAAAAGCTGGAAGAGATATCTCAAGAAGAACGTGATAAGAAGCCGAAAGAAATAAAGAAGAAAAAGAAGTCAATCAAGAAAGAGGAAAAACGCGATGTATTTGAGTTGGAACTCAGACCCATGGAGCAAACACAAGAGGGAATGCCAGACAAGGCCGAAACTGTAAAGCAGGCTCCTGAGCTTGTTCAAGAGGTCCACGAAGTGGGGGAGGAACCCAAACCAAAAGGGGCGACTGAAGTAACGGTTACTTCTGCAGAAACACCGGACGTAGAAGTTCAGGAGATCACTGAGAAACCAACTGAAGTGGAAATCACTGAGAAAGCAGAAGATAAAATAGATGAAAGAAAGCCAGACGTGAAACGAAAGCCTAAGCCAAAGCTTTCCATTAAGGTTTTGGAAGAACAACCTGAAGAAATTGTATCACCGACGAGTGTAGACGTTGAATTAATCCAACTTAAGAAATCGGAGGAACTCGTGGAAGAGCCTGTCGAGCTAGTCTATGAAACTCACCGGGAAGAAACGATAGATATCGAGGTGACTCTAGAAAGTCTGCCACAACACGTGCCCGAAGAAACCCCTGCTAAGCCAAAAAGGAAAGAAGCTGAAGTTAGAAAACCAGAAGAGGGAGGGGAAAAACCGGAGTTCCCAGAAGAAGCTGAAAAACCAATTCTTGAAGAAACAAAACGGCCAAAAAGCAAAGAGCAGCACATCGTCGAAAAGTCAGAACCAAAAGTAGTGCGTGCGAAACCCGATCAGCCTAAATATAAAAAGAAACCAAAAAGAAAACCAGACACGATACTAGAAGAAGACGAGTTCTATTCGGCAGGTGAAAGTTTTGACGAAGGGGAGTTGGAACTTTTTGATGACTCCAATAATATATTAGAAATGGCGACGCTGGAAACGTCGGAATTGTACGAAACAGTAACGACTTCTGACGTTGTTCCACGCCTTGATGAAACGGTCCCAGCATTTTTAGAAACCCTTCCTTTCGAAAGTTCCACAACCAGCAAACCACAGGTGATGGGCCGTCCAAGAGAAGAGGAAATTTTCACAGAAAGTGTAGCGACTTTCTCAGACACTTTCGAAAGCACAGAGTTGACTCAAGTCCCAGAGGAGGTTCCATTATTACAAGAGACAGCACTAGCGTCTTTTATACAAACAGAACCTGCTTCCGATGAGCAATTAGAAGTAACAGTTAGACCTGGTGAAGAGGCAATCACTTTAGAAATGAAATTATTTACTGAGTCCAGAGAGCAGGAGCAAGAAGTTCAAGTGGTCTTTGAGGATGATGAACGAGGAGAAACTGTCGATTTGCCTCAAGTAGACGTCCAGGAAGGGGGACATCCAGAGGTCACGAGAAGAAGGAAAAAGAAAGCACCAGGTAAGTTCCTCAGAGTTTGCAATCTATTTTTTAATAGTGTGCTGCTTAGCAATATTGAAATCAATTTAAATATGATTTGCATTAAAGTAACAACATTACAGTAGTTATTTCATGTAAAACAAAACATGGAAATCTGCGTGTTACAAACGCGCATTAAAGAAAAATCATTAAACAAGACATATAGTTTTCTGTTGATATTATTTCCTATTTCTATTATACTTAATGTGTGAATCTCAATACTGTTTTATTTATTCAGTCCTGATATTACATTATTAAGGATCATAATTGAACTTAATTAAAAATATATTGTTTATGGTTTATCAATAACACAAATAACATAATTGGTTCAATATTGCTTTCAGAATACTCACATTTTAAATGTTCTCGATTTTAACAATTAAGCTTGTATAATGCGCATACTCACCTTGTGGAAGCTTTGTTTAATAAAAGTGCATTTCAGTGGTTTGCTATAACACAAATAGCCACCTCTGCAATAGACAAGGCCACCATGAAACACTTGCGTAAGATTCAAACTGACATTTTTCCTCTTGGTGTGGCACAGCCATAATGGTAAGTTAACGCTATGAATTGTGACTGAAATTTTGTGCAAGCTTACAATCTAAAAACAAATGCATTATAAACATGCTACTGACTTGAGCATGCCCATATTAGAACGCATGGCATGTAAACCGCATGACTATAGCGAAGAAATATGTCCGTCAAGCGCATAACTAGACTTCAAACAATCATCTAAAAATAAAAAGCAAGGTTTTTTTCCCGGGATTAATTTATGGAAAAACGTATATCTGATGTTTTAGTTCAATTAGTTAGATGGTATATGCTTCGGATACACCTACCAGCTTTATCATTGGTTCCAGATGTGTGCTGACATATGTTTAATGTATAGCAAAGTTAGTCTTTATCCAATCAACCGGAACTTAAACACATAGCTAATGATTAGAATTATATAAACGCACATATTCAAAAATTTTGAGTAAGGCAGACTCAAAGTGATGTCGTGCACGAGAGGTTATGCATCGCAATCGGTTAGAACGAGGTGCGGCGTATCCGTTTTCTTGCCATTTCTTGTACTCTTTTTAGCAATGAAGGTAATTAAAATACAATATCAGAAGCACCTATTTTATCAAAATATAACATTTGCATGCCGAACAAAAATTAATCATGCTAGCTTCATATTTTTGTTTTCCTTGTCTTCTATTGTTAAACAAAGTTTTATGTGTCATTAAACTTCCCAGAAATTTATTATTTTTGGGAAAAAAATAATTATTAGTTACTTTGTATCTTGCAGTCAGAATTAATACTAAACATAATCTGAAACTCGCAAGTGGAGCGGAGGGTACACCTCAACTATGCAAGCATATATGGTGACATTTTTCGATCGTTGTGGTACCGATTCACAACAGATAAATACGCTTATATTTAGGTATGTTCTTTTCCTGCATTTTTCAGTCAGTTCAACCATTTAAGTATTATATAATTTAGTGCTCTAGTGCTAGCCTCACAATATTCTCTCACTATATACATAAGAACCACACATAGACGAGGTTCTACTTTTGTAGTGACCGCCATAAAACATATTTAAGCTTTCTGGCTATTCCATCTTAGGAGAAAACCGCATAGGCTTCTTCAATATCAATGTTTCAGCGTTTTAGTAAATGTTAATTCCATTTGGAATTCATCAACAATAGACACCGTAGAACTGAGCAGGCTGATCATCAGTCAGCCGTCCATACTAACTCTTAGAACCTGAAGGAAAATCAGAAAGTGCAAAACACCAAAAATTCGCGATGGAATGCTACAATTTCGAAAACATGCACTGATTTATACTTAAAACGATGCCTTTGATCTGATCGAACTCAACATTATGCCAACATATTTATCTCGTGAAAATGCATGTCCAGAAAAAACACTGCGTACCAACTGGAGTTTTGTTGCATAAGGATCTGCAGTTTGTTATTACATACAACATCTTTTGTGCGGCCTTATGAATGTACTAGAAAGTCACTAATAGGCCATATAAAATATCGTTCACTTACAGAAGAAATAAAAGAGGCAAAAGAAGAGGCACGTGAAGAAATTTCTCTGCCTACCACAGTACAAGAAACTCCAGAAGAAATCCCAAGGATTGAAGAAGCCCGACAGGAAATATCTGAAGAAGTACCAAAACTAGACGAAGAAATTTCAGTTATTTCTAAACCAAAGAAAAAACTGAAGAAACCAGCAATTAAGAAAGAGATTCCTATTGAAGATGTTACTGCAGGAAAGCCTGAAGAAAAGCCCGAGGAACTTCCAAAAGCTGTCACTGAGGACATCACTCCAACTTCAGAAGAAAAGCCAGAAGAGAAACCGATGCTAGCGGCTCCAGAAGAAGTGGCAATTGAAGAAAAACCTCTACCAGAAGAAAAGACAGAAGTTTTAGAAGAGGCCAAACTTAAAATTAAGAAGAAGCCTAAAAAGCCAAAAGTAACCGAAGAACTTCCAGCCGAAGAAACTGTCACAATTAAAAAACCCGAAGAAGAGCGTCCAGGCCTTCCAGAGGAGGTTACTGAGGACATCACCATAGCCTTAGAAGAGAAGCCAGAGAAGAAACCATTGCCCGAAGCTCCAGAAGTGACAGTCGAAGAAAAACCTCGACCAGAAGAAAAAACAGAAGTTGTAGAAGAGGCTAAGCTGAAAATTAAGAAACCTAAAAAGTCAAAAGTAACCGAAGAACATCCAGTCGAAGAAACTGTCAGCATTAAGAAACCCGAACAAAAGCCTGAAGACCTTCTAGAGGACATCACTGAGGACATAACTGTAACTTTAGAAGAGAAGCCAGAAAAGAAACTAATGCCTGAAGCTCCAGAAGAAGTGACAGTCGAAGAGAAACCTCAGGAAGAAGAAAAGACAGAAGTAGAAGAGGCGAAGTTGAAAATTAAGAAGCCTAAAAAGCCCAAAGTTACAGAAGCACCTACAGCAGAAGAGACTGCCGTAATTAAAAAACCCGAAGAAAAGCCTGAAGAACTTCCAGAGGATATCACTGAGGAAATTACAGTCACTTTAGACAAAAGAGCAGAAAAAATACCGACGCCAGTAGCTCCAGAAAAAGTGTCAGTCGAAGAAAAACCTCTACCAAAAGAAAAAACAGAACTTGTAGAAGAGGCTAAACTTAAAATCAAGAAGCCTAAGAAGTCAAAAATTACAGATGAAGTTCCTGCAGAAGAAACCATTACATTAAAGAAACCTGAAGATAAACCTGATCAAAAGACAGATGATATTGCTGAGGATGTTACAGTAACCCTGGAGGAGAAACCAGAAGAATCGCCAAAGACTCGAGAAGAAACTGAAGAATTATTTATTGAAGAAAAGCCTCGAGTGGAAGAAAAGAAAGAATTTGTTGAAGAAGATGCGAAACTAACAATCAAGAAAAAGTCTAGGAAACCTAAAGTTACAGAGGAGGCACCAGCTGAAGAAATCATAACATTAAAGAAACCTGAAGAGAAACCACAGGAACTTCCAGATGATGTCACTGAAGACGTCACAGTAACGCTGGAGAAGAAACCAGAAGAAAAATCAGAGCCTAAAGAATCTCCAGAAGAATTAACTATTGGGGAAAAGCCTAAAGTGGAAGAAAAGAAGGAATTTGATGAGGGAGAAGCTAAGCTGACTATCAAGAAAAAACCTAAGAAACCTAAAGTTACTGAGGAGGTACCAGCTGCAGAGGAAACGTTTAGAAAACCGGAAGAAAAACCGGAGGAAGTTCCAGATTACGTCACCGAAGATGTTACAGTCACCTTGGAAAAGAAACCAGAGGAAAAGCCAAAACCAGAGCAAGTTCCTGAAGTATTAAGCATTGAAGAAAAACCTAAAGTAGAAGAAAAGAAGGAGTTTGTTGAAGAAGAAGCTAAGCTGACTATCAAGAAAAAACCTAAAAGACCTAAAGTTACTGAGGAGGTACCAGCTGCAGAGGAAACGTTTAGGAAACCCGAAGAAAAACCGGACGAAGTTCAACAGGATGTCACTGAAGATGTTACAGTGACCTTGGAAAAGAAACCAGAAGAAAAGCCAAAACCAGAAGAAGCTCCCAAAGAATTAACCATTGAAGAAAAACCTAAAGTAGATGAAAAGAAGGAGTTTGTTGAAGAAGCTAAGCTGACTATCAAGAAAAAACCTAAAAAGCCCAAAGTTACGGAGGAGGTACAAGCTGCAGAGGAAACGTTTAGGAAACCCGAAGAAAAACCGGAGGAAGTTCCACAGGACATCACTGAAGATATTACGTTGACCTTGGAAAAGAAACCTGAAGAAAAACCAAAACCAGAAGAAGCTCTCAAAGAATTAACCATTGAAGACAAACCTAAAGCAGAAGAAAAGAAAGAGTTTGTTGAAGAAGAAGCTAAGCTGACTATCAAGAAAAAACCTAAGAAACCTAAAGTTACTGAGGAGGTACCAACTGCAGAGGAAACGTTCATGAAACCCGAAGAAAAACCGAAGGAAGTTCCAGTGGACATCACTGAAGATGTTACGGTGACCTTGGAAAAGAAACCAGAAGAAACGCCGAAACCAGAAGAAGCTCCTGAAGAAATAACCGTTGAAGAAAAACCTAAAGTAGAAGAAAGGAAAGAGTTTGTTGAAGAAGAAGCTAAGCTGAGTATCAAGAAAAAACCTAAAAAGCCAAAAGTTACTGAGGAGGTGCCAGTTGAGGAGGAAACGTTTAGGAAACCCGAAGAAAAACTGGAGGAAGTTCCACAGGACGTCACTGAAGATGTTACGGTGACCTTGGAAAAGAAACCAGAAGAAAAGCCAAAACCAGAAGAAGCTCCCGAAGAATTAACCATTGAAGAAAAACCTAAAGTAGAAGAAAAGAAAGAATTTGTTGAAGAAGAAGCTAAGCTTACTATCAAGAAAAAACCTAAGAAACCTAAAGTTACTGAGGAGGTACAAGCTGCAGAGGAAACGTTTAAGAAACCGGAAGAGAAACCGGAGGAAGTTCCAGAGGACATCACTGAAGATGTTACGGTAACCTTGGAAAAGAAACCAGAAGAAAAGCCAAAACCAGAAGAAGCTCCGGAAGAATTAACCATTAAAGAAAAACCTAAAGTAGAAGAAAAGAAGGAGTTTGTTGAAGAAGAAGCTAGGCTGACTATCAAGAAAAAACCTAAGAAGCCTAAAGTTACAGAGGAGGTACCAGCTGCAGAGGAAACATTTAAGAAACCGGAAGAGAAACTGGAGGAAGTTCCAGAGGGCGTCACCGAAGATGTTACGGTGACCTTGGAAAAGAAACCAGAAGAAAAGCCAAAACCAGAAGAAGCTCCCGAAGAATTCACTATTGAAGAAAAACCTAAGGTAGAACAAAAGAAGGAGTTTGTTGAAGAGGCTAAGCTGACAATTAAGAAGAAACCTAAGAAACCTAAGGTTACTGAGGAGGTACCAGCTGCAGAGGAAACGCTTAAAAAACCGGAAGAGAAACCGGAGGAAGTTCTAGAGGACGTCACTGAAGATGTTACGGTGACCTTGGAAAAGAAACCAGAAGAAAAGTCAAAACCAGAAGAAGCTCCTGACGAATTAACCCTTGAAGAAAAACCTAAAGTAGAACAAAAGAAGGAGTTTGTTGAAGAAGAAGCTAAGCTGACTATTAAGAAAAAACCTAAAACACCTAAAGTTACTGAGGAGGTACCAGCTACAGAGGAAACGTTTAAGAAACCGGAAGAGAAAGTGGAGGAAGTTAAAGAGGACGTCACCGAAGATGTTACGGTGACCTTGGAAAAGAAACCAGAAGAAAAGCCAAAACCAGAAGAAGCTCCCGAAGAATTAACCATTGAAGAAAAACCTAAAGCAGAAGAAAAGAAAGAGTTTGTTGAAGAAGAAGCTAAGCTGACTATCAAGAAAAAACCTAAGAAACCTAAAGTTACTGAGGAGGTACCAGCTGCAGAGGAAACGTTTAGGAAACCGGAAGAAAAACCGGAAAAAGTTCCAGATTACGTCACCGAAGATGTTACAGTCACCTTGGAAAAGAGACCAGAAGAAAAGTCAAAACCAGAAGAAGCTCCTGACGAATTAACCATTGAAGAAAAACCTAAAGTAGAACAAAAGAAGGAGTTTGTTGAAGAAGAAGCTAAGCTGACTATCAAGAAAAAACCTAAGAAACCTAAAGTTACTGAGGAGGTACCAGCTGCAGAGGAAACGTTTAGGAAACCGGAAGAGAAACCGGAGGAAGTTCCCGAGGACGTCACCGAAGATGTTACAGTGACCTTGGAAAAGAAACCAGAAGAAAAGCCAAAACCAGAAGAAGCTCCCGAAGAATTAACTGTTGAAGAAAAACCTAAAGTAGAAGAAAAGAAGGAGCTTGTTGAAGAAGAAGCTAAGCTGACTATCAAGAAAAAACCTAAGAAACCTAAAGTTACTGAGGAGGTACCAGCTGCAGAGGAAACGTTTAAGAAACCGGAAGAGAAACCGGAGGAAGTTCCAGAGGACGTCACCGAAGATGTTACGGTGACCTTGGAAAAGAAACCAGAAGAAAAGCCAAAACCAGAAGAAGCTCCCGAAGAGTTAACCGTTGAAGAAAAACCTAAAGTAGAAGAAAAGAAGGAGTTTGTTGAAGAAGAAGCTAAGCTGACTATCAAGAAAAAACCTAAGAAACCTAAAGTTACTGAGGAGGTACCAGCTGCAGAGCAAACGTTTAAGAAACCGGAAGAGAAACCGGAGGAAGTTCCTGAGGACGTCTCCGAAGATGTTACAGTGACCTTGGAAAAGAAACCAGAAGAAAAGCCAAAACCAGAAGAAGCTCCCGAAGAATTAACCGTTGAAGAAAAACCTAAAGTAGAAGAAAAGAAGGAGTTTGTTGAAGAAGAAGCTAAGCTGACTATCAAGAAAAAACCTAAGAAACCTAAAGTTACTGAGGAGGTACCAGCTGCAGAGGAAACGTTTAAGAAACCGGAAGAGAAACCTGAGGAAGTTCCTGAGGACGTCACCGAAGATGTTACAGTGACCTTGGAAAAGAAACCAGAAGAAAAGCCAAAACCAGAAGAAGCTCCCGAAGAATTAACGATTGAAGAAAAACCTAAAGTAGAACAAAAGAAGGAGTTTGTTGAAGAAGAAGCTAAGCTGACTATTAAGAAAAAACCTAAGAAACCTAAAGTTACTGAGGAGGTACCAGCTGCAGAGGAAACGCTTAGGAAACCAGAAGAAGTTCCAGAGGAGGTTACTGAAGATGTTACAGTGACATTGGAAAAGAAACCAGAAGAAAAGCCGAAGCCAGAAGAAGCTCCCGAAGAATTAACCATTCAAGAAAAACCTAAAGTAGAAGGAAAGAAGGAGTTTGTTGAAGAAGAAGCTAAACTGACTATTAAGAAAAAACCTAAGAAACCTAAAGTTACTGAGGAGGTACCAGCTGCAGAGGAAACGTTTAAGAAACCGGAAGAGAAACCGGAGGAAGTTACTGAAGATGTTACAGTGACATTGGAAAAGAAACCAGAAGAAAAGCCGAAGCCAGAAGAAGGTCCCGAAGAATTAACAATTCAAGAAAAACCTAAAGTAGAAGGAAAGAAGGAGTTTGTTGAAGAAGAAGCTAAACTGACTATTAAGAAAAAACCTAAGAAACCTAAAGTTACTGAGGAGGTACCAGCTGCAGAGGAAACGTTTAAGAAACCGGAAGAGAAACCGGAGGAAGTTACTGAAGATGTTACAGTGACATTGGAAAAGAAACCAGAAGAAAAGCCGAAGCCAGAAGAAGCCCCCGAAGAATTAACCATTCAAGAAAAACCCAAAGTAGAAGGAAAGAAGGAGTTTGTTGAAGAAGAAGCTAAACTGACTATCAAGAAAAAACCTAAGAAACCTAAAGTTACTGAGGAGGTACCATCTACAGAGGAAACATTTAGAAAACCCGAAGAAAAACCGGAGGAAGTTCCAGTGGACGTCTCCGAAGATGTCACGGTGACCTTGGAAAAGAAACCAGAAGAAAAGCCAAAGCCAGAAGAAGCCCCCGAAGAATTAACCATTGAAGAAAAAACCAAAGTTGTAGAAAAGAAAGAAGCTGTAGAGGAAGCGGCTCAACTAACAATCAAGAAAAAGGCGAAGGTAGAAGAGAGAGGTGAGTCACCCGAGGAGATTCGTACAGTTACCCTGAAGAAAAAGCATTCAAAGGCAGATGTTACTGATGACATCACAGAGAAATTTAGCATCCAGATAAAGAAAGAAGCTCCTACTTTAGAGAAGTCCGAAGACGTTGAGGAGATATTTGAAATGAAAATTCCTCGCAAAACAAGCACCACTGAAGACATTATAAGCATCCGGAAAGTGTCGCATCCTGACCAACCTGAAGAAATGGAGAGCCTAGATATTTCGCTGCCCACGGAAGGAAAGAAGTCCGTTATTACAGAGATGCATGGTGAGTTCACATTGTTCTTGTAAATAATAGAAGTCATCACTCATGGTTGCGTGCGTCCTTTCAGATCAATATAAGATCGTCCTGCAAGAGCCGCAAAGTAAGATAATTTTGTTATCCTTATGTTCTACTACATATTTTACATTCTAATATTTCATTCTTATTTTTACAGAAGAAGAAGAGGAAGAGGAAGAGGTAAAAAGTTTTTTTATATCCTTATTTTCCGAAAAGCATTTGGAAAATTTTTCGTAGAATACTATTCACTGCAACGCTGGCATGACACGTTAGCTCACTAGCAATAATTTTCGGAATTAAGGGATGAACATAAGATAAAACACTATTGTTTCATATCATTTCTAATTTGTTTTTGTTGACGTCATACGAAGGTGGTTGCGCTGGCTGTATAATAGGGCTTGTGCAGAAAGCTCGCACTTAGCAAAACGGGTTCATGCACATGTGCAGCACCCACAGTTACTGTTGGCAGGCGGCCTTGTTTGTAAATAACGAATTAGTCTGTAACCCGCCGTCGAATACACAGACTGCAAAATCAAAAGCCTGCAGTTAATTTCAGTATACCTTGGCAAACTGCAGACGTAGCGGACCAAGAGAGCCAATAATGCCGCCTCTACGATGCTCGAGTCAGTGTTCTGGCAGAGGTTAATCGTCTAGAGCGCTGTCACGTGCCTCGCTCGGGCGTTCTTATCGGCTCATAGGGGCTCTAACTTTTATTATTTACCCAGATATCCCTTTACAGAATGTAGCATTCTTCCCTTAACTTATTGTGGGTCACATCTGGCAGCAATTAGAATCCCGTTAAAACTTACATTTTGATTTGAAATTATCTTATAGAGATATATCAAAAACACATGAGAGCGCAAAGGAACTCGAGTACATTTACCGTTTAAAGCAATGTACGGCATGGAACAAAGAGCACAAGCAAATATTTCCCACAGTTTTTTTTTTTCATTTCGGTTTTGCATCTGTAACGCTGTGATGAAAACCACTGTCATTGGATATGGTTAAAATAAACTATGTGTGGGGCACCAACCTAACCAGGAACATTTTGTGCTCTACGATGACCTGAATAAGCAAAACTCAAAAGTGCCGGAGTTCCGGTGTCTGTATCACACAGTTAACACCACCACAGTTCCATCTCGCGGTCAAATGATATCTTCTCTTTTTTTGTGTGTGTATATGTCCTCTTGGTTCCCCTCCTTTGAATTACCCGAATTTTCTCTAAAAATATGACTCACGCGTGTTATTCATCTTTTTACTTGCAGGAAATATTAGAATATGTGGCAATCACCACATATATCACGGAAGAGGACGATACTCTCAACCTCGAGGAAGGTAATGTCCTCATTATATTTCTTGAAAGAATAGTATGGTACAACAGGTATATGTGAATGCTTCACCTCGTCGTATTATAGAAGTGAGTGTAACATAAGCAACGCATAGTGACAATTATTTTTATAAGTGATTTCATGCGCCTTTATATGTTTTCTAGGAATTATTATGTCGCGCCCAACCACTCACTATTTCTTCCTCTAAAAAACGTCCTCCAATTAAAATCACCAGTCAAACAGCAAACATGCTCCCTCGTACTTTTTTCCATTTTATTATGTTGTTCACAATTCTAGACTATAAAAAATTAAATTGTAGATATATAGATAAGCTTTAGTGATAGCATCCGGTTAATATCACATATTCATTAAGTTTTATTTATTGTTGTGCGGTTTGGATCTTTTTCATAAACAAAAAAGCGTACAGTTATTTCAACATATGCAACCTCAAAGCTAGCTACTGCTGAAATATAAAGGCACTGTGTGCAAAATCTACTAACTTTTAATTTGAAATGTTTACCTGTTGTAAAAGTAACAAAACATTATGAGGACGTTTTTCTATCATTCCACTGCTCAATCACCAGACCCCACTCAGCAGTGATGGCGATATCTAAACACCGTTGTTTTTTTTTTTGTTTTTTTTTTTGTTTTTTTCAATGCGACGCGTGTTTCAAAATTATAAAATATTCTAATGCTTGCTTACGGTTACTGATAATGAGAAAGAAAACTTTGGCCGAAACGTGAACCGACATTGCGTTCGAAGTTTACCAAGTGTAGATTGCATGAATGTTGAGTCAGAAACTTCATGTTTGCTTGAAATTTTTTTAAATAACAGCGGACTCCTGTTTTTCGCAAATCGTTCTGCCTTCTTACCGTGATTCATCCGCAGTGTTAAATCACGCCAGCAGAACCTAGCTCACGAATGGGATACGAGTACTTCGTCACTCCGACTGAACTCGCTAACAATCACTTCATTCGCGAATATTCGAGTTCACCTTCGTCACCACTTTAGTGCTGTGACGGAAACCGATCGTTGTTCAAGAAACAAGGTAACAAGAGATGTGGTTAATAAAACACGCGTGCAAGAGAACAGCACGGTTCCACAGAAGATAGCGTCCACAATATAGGAGTCGTAATAGAATAACCACATGGCTCAATTCCACTCGAAAATGCAGTACCACTATGAAAAGTTAGGCTAGGTTAATGCTCTTGTTGACGCAAGTGTTCCTGGACGACTCTCGTTTATTCCTTTTTCTATTGTATTGAATCGGTATATGAGGTAGAACTCTCACTGTTCGCACTCCCGGTTTGAGCTAAATCAAGTTTTCAGTAATGTCACAGATAATTCGTGGAAAGAATGCTTTGGAATCGACAAAATGTTAATACTCTAAAATATTAATAAGCTTCTTTATAAAGTTGAAAACATCATCATCATCATCATTTATTATTCCTTGAAGGCCCAGGGGGCATTACACAAGGGAGTGAACACTTAAAAAACAAACAAGTAACAAAATTATTTATCTACGAAAACACGCTGTAATCTAGTTATGGGTTAGAAAAAATAAGCTAATGGCTGCAGAATTTTTTTTTGTATCAGATAAGGTAACAATTACGTCAGGCAGTGAGTTCCAGTCGTCAATGGCCAATGGTAAAGTAGACATTCGGTGAGTGACGGTTGACGATGAAATCGGACGGAGTTTACAAGAATGGTCGAGACGAGGGAAAATGCGGTAAGGAGGAGATAACAAACTTTGTCTGAGATGACTGTTGTAATAAAAGATCCGATGAAGAAGAGAAAGACGAGACACCCTGCGGCGGTGAGAAAGAGTGTCAAGGTTAGCTGATTGGCGAAGTCCTGATATGCTTGCGTATGGGGAATAGTCGGAATAAATAAAACGGAGGGCCCTTCTTTGAACGGATTCCAGGTTGTTAGTTAGGTATGCCTGCCACGGTGACCATATGGAAGAAGCGAATTCTAGTTTAGTTTTGACCAAGGTAGTATAAGCTAGTTGTTTTACGGGGGATGTAGCTTGTCTGAGGTTACGGCGAAGAAATCCGAGAGTGCGGTTAGCATCGGCGATGACAGTTGTTATATGAGTGGTCCACGACAGGTCAGATGTCAGATGAATTCCTAGATATTTATACGATGAACAAGCAGTTACTGGGATGCCAGAAAAGTGGTAAGAGGAGGATAGAACATGTGAACTGCGGGAAAAAGATAGCGATTTACATGTATTATAGTTTAACGCCATTTGCCATTTATGACACCACTGAATTATAAGTTGGAGATCGTTTTGCAAGGTTAGCTGATCGTGGCGTGAATGAATGGGTCTATATATGACACAGTCATCGGCGAACAAACGTACTTCAGGAGTGATGTTTTCATCTTTATAAAACCCGAACTCCCCAGTGTATTCATCAAGTTATCTAAACATATTGATCAAAATAAAGCTTACATTGACAGCAGGCTAACATGGTTCATTAAATCCGTATAAAGCAGTAAAAGACTACTTTCTGTTTATCTCCAGGCGAGCACGTCTTCGTGGTGGAACGAATCAGTGAAGAATGGTGGTTTGTGCGCAAGACAGTCACGCAAGAGACTGGAAAGGTTCCACCGTCTATACTCCAGGACGTCAAATCATACAGACGTCTTCTGGAACAAATCCTTGAAGAAAAGATAAAGAAGCTCCCTGCATTCGGCAGTAAGCGAACTAATATTATGTTTTTAAATCGTGAATGCTACAAGTTCTGCGAATATCTTAACATCGCAATCCTGCTTCCGTACCCTATTCCATACCCCGTGCATTGCACCAACTGAAATGAATCATTTTTTCTTTCTGTCAAGAACCGGGCCCTGGAGAAAAGATGACAGCCCCAAAATTTGTCAAGAGGCTTGTTCCGGTAGAAGCTACCAATGGCGAGGAAGCTACCTTCAAGTGTCAAGTACAGGGGCATCCACGTCCACATGTTACCTGGTTCAAGCAAACACGCATCATTAAATCAAACGAAGAATTTCAGGTTTGCGGTTGAACAATTTGTCATATATTCTGCGTAAAACCGGACGGAATATTTTAAATTCCTAAAGCATGTTTCTTGACGAGTAAATAGATGAGAGTTTATTGTTACATTTTTTCATACGTTGAACATTCACTGAAACTCACATACCCTCATCAGCTGCAAATGATTTCCCCGTATTGAATTGCTCATGATGAACAGGAACACTTGTCGGTAAACTTGACAACGGTAACAAAATATGTCACTCGCATTGTCTACCAAATAATTGAAACGCTAATTATAAAAATGTTAACTGGTCACTGTTTAGACAGTCACCAGTTAGACCAACACAGACAGCGTCGATGTTTGAATGTGTTCATCATCTTCCTTGTCTTTCCACGTGTGAGATGAGGCTAATTCTTAGTTCTGACAAAATATAAGCATTGTTGCCATATAGTGAAACGTTGCCAACTTTCGTTTTATTTTGAATACTTTGATGTCTGATATTACTAAATGTGTCTCTTGGAAAATATTTTATATGATTACAGATTTACTACGACGAAGAGAACGAAACCACGCTGGTGATAAGCGAGGTTTTTCCTGAAGATGCTGGAACTTACACAGTGGTTGCAAAGAACCCGGCAGGATTTGCCTCTAGCTCGGCCGAATTAGTCATTCGGGGTGAGTAAAATGTGAATGCGTCATCAAGATGAAAAGATATATAATCATATAATCCGACAATTTCTACCCATTACAGCAATGATTAGTGAAACTTGCACTTAGCAGCGTTTTCCACGTGCCTTCCTTCCTTAAAGGGGCCCTGCAATCATATTTAAGCGTCCACCTTTTCTGCGGTTTCCACGTCTCTTGGGGTTCGGGCAAGCCGGCGGGCACGGAGAGAGTAACTAAATATCAATGCGTCATATTTTAACCGGACGACGCGAAAACCTCTTCCACCTACGGGGGCGACCCGCGGTGCCGAAAGCGCGCGATAAATGACGTCTTTGGTCCGGGGCTTACTACTGGTCAGGGCCGCTAAAAGCTTCTTTTTAGTCGAAATACAAAATATAAGTGGCGCGAACCGTTTTAATTATTTATAAAAGTAGTTTTTGTACACTGTTTTAGACCAAAAAAGAAACAAATGCAGTTTAGAAAGTACGGAAATAAGAAATGACCCGTCGACATACCCGCCACCAAGCGGTAGCAAAGGCGGCGCATACCAGAAAGGTGTAGTGGGATCAGGCCCCAACGAGCGGCGAGCGTAGAAAGGTCCCGGGTGTACGCGGCGGCGCTGCGGTCGCATGCACTAGAGGATCCGACCGGTTCCGAGCTTTCCCAAGGCCCTCGGCGAGCAGCTTTGGCTTGCGATTTGTCCTTTTGGCGGTATGGCAGCGCTAAGTGGCTCCCGTTCTGAACTGATCTTTACCCCCTGTTTGCTGTCGTTTGTTTCCAATAAAGTGCCATGCCGAATTAGTGTTTAATCGCGCAGCAAATGCAATGCGAGTCGCCTTGGCTGCCCGCTTCATACAGCCTAGCCAGAACATGCTTTAGTGGCGCCCTCTCGAGCCGTCGACACGGAGTGCGGCAGCCGTGACCGCTCGCTGAGATCGCTACCCCTCCTTGCCTCCTCTAGTTCACGGCCTCTCACGTAACCAAGGACGTCATGAAGAAGGTTATTTTTTGCTTGTTTTTGTAATTTTAATTTGCCTAGAACTTTTAAAATAAAGCAGAATTCGAGAAAAGAAATGTTTTTTTTTAACTACGTTCAGTGCGCACAGGTTCGGTGCCAATTAAAAACCAGTAAAAAAGTCCTTGCAGGGCCCCTTTAAGAAGCAAGTTAAAGTCTATACTCCTTTGAGGGTAAATTAACCGTCTTCGTCTTCACAGAATTCGTGAGTGAGCGGACTATTTCAAGGCGCACCGTGTCAAGGTCTTCATCCCTGATAGATCTCTTGACTGAGGGAATACCACCAGTGTTTTCAGCACCCCTCCGACCACATCTTGAAGTTGATGAAGGAAGCACTTTGACTTTGGTGGTGAAGCTGTCAGGAACGCCCGAGCCAGAGGTACGGCTTGTTGTTGCTTTTACACAATAAAAAGGCTTCCAAAGCGAAAATATTACTTTTTTGCGCGAACTAATATTAACTTGATTTCCTCCAATTTCAAGTTGTACCTTTTTAAATACGATAGCTCGCAGATAAAGAAATGGCAGTCTTACAACATATCTTCGTGAAATACTGAGCAAACTAAACATTTTCATCATAATGTTAGCCTTTGTATTTCGTTGTGATTTTTGCAAACGTTGGCATACATTTTTCAACAAACGAGATGTTGATGTTGGAACTCTCATGTTTTTTTTTACTAAAAATTGATGTTTTCTGTTATATTTTGAACAATTTAGGTTACCTTGAAGGTCAACGGGAAAACTCTGAATCCTGAAAGAGATACTAGACTCACAATCACAAAAAAGCAAGAACATCACAACTTCGTCACCGTAACGTTCACCTTGAAGGATGTCAAACCATCTGATAAGGGCACATTTGAGGTGACGGCTGAAAACTCTGAAGGGAGTGTGGCAAGTCACATCGATGTCACAGTGAAAGGTTTGTACTCCGGAGATGCTTCAATAGTCAATTGAGGATTCGCGAGCTTCAACGCGCCACCTATACTACAGCGTCAAAAGCTTTGGAATTTGGGGTTTGAGATTCAAAAACGGTCCCAAAGAGAGGCTTAGCGATGCATGAATGACTTGTCAGAACATTACAAAAGCGACGTACCCGAGGCAAAATGTACGCTGTGGGTCCGGCAGTCTTACTAGGGTGCCATGGCAAGCCGTCTGGTTTCCTCGCTTGACTGACCGAAATTTGAAACACTTGGTGCCTTCTTTCCGGTAAAAATAATTATTGCACCATTGATTGACACTTTTTGCTGAGATTACATGTAACAAGGCGACCCACGAGTTCTTGTTTCCACAGCAACCTAGTATAATGTAAGCTTACGAAAGGCGGCACGCCCGTTTTCTTTCAGCCTGAACGGGGGCTCTGGCAACTTTTCGCGCAAATGTAGCAGCTTTTTTGGGGAAGGTCAATTGTCCGTTTTCGACTTGAGGACCTCGCGTTTGACTACAATTATTGCTTTCAAAACTGTTCTGAACATACAACCTTAAGTACGCCGAGTCGCTCTTAAACATCTTTAGAACTTCCCTTGGCCCATCTCGAAAAAAGTGAGATGAAGTAGGTTGCAAACACGTTACATGAACCGGGGGTATTTGCCGCACCTTCAAAGCTACATAGCTTATGCTCCTTAAAAAACCCTTTGAAAAAAAAAAAAAACATTAAGCAACATTGGCCGGTCGTCATTGACCCGCAAAGTTCAGCCTGTCACTATACCACGCCGGCAGGTGATAGTTACAAAAAGAGAAAGGGGGAAGGAAATTGTCGCGCAGTAAAAATCATCTTTTGGGTTTCTAGGCTAGGTGGCGCAAGCTACCGACCGTTATAAAGAGTACAGCCGATAGCATTCATCCATCCATTCCTGGGAACGAAGCGTGTAATTGGATCCAAGTCCTCGCCGAACGCTGACGCAACACTCGATTCCTATCATAGTGCGTACCCAAGAAATAGCAGACTCGGATAATCGACGCAGCAGCTGCTATAGGCGGCGCGAACTTTTCAAAAGGGTCGTATAAAACGCAGAAAAAAAGCGTATATTATGCGACATAGAACACCTTTGTAAATATGTTTCATGCTCCGTTGGTGTCGCTTACAAATTCCCTTTGTCCCGAGGCAATATTTACGTACGACACGTAGGTACGTGCGTAAGCGACAGTGCTCGTGAGCACTGTTTGTTTTCACGGAACGGTCGATCGAGACACTTAGCCTTGGACTGCAATGAATGTGACTCTACTCTGCCGTTCAATACGAGAGTCAGTCAAACGAAACCCTTAAATAATTTTTGCTCGACATTTATTGAACAAAAAAGCTACTATGCCTTTTTTAACATAGTCGCAATTCGGTTTAATCTGGGTCCTCCGGTGCTTGATAAATGCGCAAACTTCAAAAAAAAAAAAACTTTCGGGTGCGACGCCATTCCTGCACCGCGTATTACATGACATCATCGGACGGGAAATGCTCTCCCATTGCCTTCTTGAGCGGTACAAAAAATGTGGTAATCACTAGGGTCGACTTACATTGACAAGTGCGGCCATTTTATGCATCGTCACTCGGCTATTCTCTATTTCGGTGCCTTCAAATACTAGAATATGTTGTCGCCGCTCGGTGTACATGAGCAGCCAATGAGAGTCTGTCACAGAACTCACATCTTCTTGGAACTTTTGAGTTCATTCGTACATTTACTGGAGTGACAGACAAGCATCACCATATTGAAATTTCATTCGACGACAAATTTCGGTAGTTTTCGCACCCTCAACACCTAAAAAACGGATGGCAGAACGTTGCTCCTTTTGGGTGCATTACTCAAGTGGGGAGTTCATCTTTACGCTGCAACTGTGACATAATGCTTGTTGTCCACACTGTGCTGACACCTATCGGACATTAATTTAGTTATCAATGAGGAGGCTGCCAGAGTGCAGGAAAAATTACATATTTAAAAATGTTTTTGCAGTCTTAAGGTTTTCATTTCACTCGCTCTAGTAATATTCAAATATTGGCCAAACACTCTTATAAGACTGCTAGAGAAATTCATGAAGCGTTGTTTTCTGTTTTGCGGTCCTCTTTGCATTATGATTGAATGAGTCACTCTTTATCATGGTGAATATTTTCTTATTAATCAATCGGACACATGTTAGTTTAATGGATGGATGCCCTGTCTCGTTCACTATTTTTTATATGAATGTATTTTCTTATGAAAGAAAACGACAGTTGATAGTCAGCGCTGTGTTTGTGAATGTCTTCCAGTTGTCCCTGTGTCTTTTTTTGCTCTTTTCATTTTTTCTCGCCATGCACCGAATCGCCTAACTATACACCTTGCTTTAGTACGCACATTGCATTACAAATCGCTACGCATAACACCACTTGTTTGTTTCAGAAAAACCCAAAGAAGATCGGGAACCTCCGAAGTTCACGCAAACATTCAGCGACACAGTATGTATTGGCTTAAGTATATATGTATATAGTATAGTATGTACAGTGAAAATACATGACAATGCAGGAAGAGTAAAAACTATCATCATATCCCCACGCGTTCAGGTTGTCACAGAAGAAGAAACGGTTCGACTGATCGTTAAATTCTTGGGAAAACCTCCACCTGAAGTAAAGTGGTTCAAGTAAGTTAATTTTTTTAATGTCGCATTTCAGAAAATTAAATTATTTCTATTCTGCTTTTTTACCTCAGAGATGACAAAGAGATTAAAAAAGATGACAAAAGAATTACAACGCAAGAAGAAGAATCGATATCTACACTGGAAATACCCAAATCTGAGGTGACAGACACGGCAAAATACACGTGCAGTGCCACAAATCCGGTAGGCGAGGTCACGCACTCTGCCAAAGTCACCGTGCAAGGTAACAATGCATTTCAGTTTTAATTATTTAAATCACATCAGCTCATGTTCAGTGTCGCCATCAAAATAAATTACTCGTTTAGAAAGAGGCCATGCACCAGAGTTTCTTTTTTTTTTTTAATTGTTACTATATTGGAAATATCTCTAAGAATTAGGGCTCTTGAAAGAAAGAGATCATTCGTTAAGGTCAACTTCATAGGTCGCTTCGGACGACCGAGCGAAGGAGTAGCATAATAATTATAGAAATGATTAGCTTAAGTTCACTAATTATATTTCTAAACTTGAAAAAAAAAAAATTGCAACGCGCTTCATGACGAAAGGTTTCTGATCTTTCTTCGTGATTTTTGACGCGCTTTTTATTTATTTTTATTTTCTTATTTTTCGTATGACGGGCCCTTGACAGCTTAAGTTCGCCACTGAAGAAGCCGTATTTAGTTTTCTCCAATTCATGGCTTATTTTCACGGCGGGCTACCAATCTCTGATTGGATTGTGCAATCTAAGATTAATATTTAAAATATTTTACACTGATTTCTGGAGGGTCTGCCCTCCAGAAATCTGGAGGGTCTGCCCTCCCGCCAAGCACTTCTTGAGAGAGCCAATCGCCGCAATGTACAGAGGGAACTCGGCGAAGGACGGTGCTGGAAAGAGACTTAGACCTAAGAAAAAAAAAATTGGGGCTCCAATCCACGCTGTGAAGGTGGTTGGTCAGCGAAGCTGCGGTATCACCTGCAACGATTGTCTACTGCACTATACGAAATGCCGCCGCCGGTCGCAGCACGCCGCCGCCGGTCGTATTGCCGTTTTTTTCCCCCTTTGCCACTCCTAGTATTCACGCTGCTCCTCGGGAGTCCTAACTATGCGTGGCCTATTCATCGGGGTGCTGCAGCAACAATGAAATCAGTTGCTCTACTCCGTTTCATCTTACGTTCAAGCGCAGCGGATGTTACGAGCCATCGCAGCCAATCGGAGACCGTGCGAGTGTCACGTGACCTTAGAGAGGGGGCACAGCGACGCGCGGAAAGCGTATCACGGGCCACGTCCACAGAACGGGATGGGCTAAGATGGCTCGCATCATCCGCTGCGTCCGGACGTAAGGTGAAACGGGGCATAGGCGGGTTTTTCTTTTATATATTAAAGGCTAGTGACGTCAATCCCCACGTCGCAAGCTGCCGTCGACGCGGCAGCTTGCGAAACATTTGAACAGATCTCGAACTTTTTCGTTCTTTTGGCGTTCACCTAGAGAATTTGTGGTTAAACGTTTCATCCACCTTTCAAGCAGCGGTGTTAAGGTGGCCTTTGTTCATTGTTTTTATAACCCGGCAGTTCTCTGGGACGTCAAAGACTGGAAGCACAGCCTGGTGGCATTTGCCATAAACAGGGTCTCTAGTGCAGTGGGCAATCTTTGCAGGCGATACCCCAGCTTCGCTGTCCCACCACCTTCACAGCGTGGATTGCAGCCTTAATTTTTTGAGACTGTATTTTATTATCTCGCTTTATATCTCGTTACACTCGAGTCCTAATGTTCACAACAGCCGACAACTTCATGCCGAAGGAAACATATATTTATTTCACGTGTCCCTTGCTTTGGGAATATATTCAGTCAATAAAAATAACCCGTATTGTATATCTCGCATACGAGCGCTATTTCGAGAATGGTTTCACTCCTGTTAATACTCCTTTATTTCAAGTGCGTATGTGATTTTGTGCATATCGCAGAGCCAAATCTGACATTTGTGGAAAAGCTTCAAGATGTGGAAGTCAAGGAAAACCACGTAGCCATGTTTGTGACGAAAACCAATCGTCCAGTTTCTCACGTTACCTGGTGCAAAGATGGCGAACCCCTGCAGCTTGAAGAGTCGCCGGAAAAATTCCAATCTCTTTCCGAGGGTCCCTATCAGAAGCTGGTGATCAAGAATGCTAGCATTAAAGATGAAGGCGAGTACACCTGTGTCTTGGGAGACCAAGAAACCTCCGCTGACCTGATAGTAATCGGTAAGTTGAAAACCCTCTTGCTTGGTTCAATATCCGCTAAGATGTTTGTGTTCGCGCCTCGACAACGTTCCATTTCCAATTAAGATTATTTTTAAAACGGTATTTCACATGGGTAGTTTGTTCAACTGCAACCAACTGTAGTGAAACGGCCCAAGTCGGACACATCCGCATTTCGGGCACCTTCTTTCTTCAGTTGGACCAACTTACTGAACTTGTCCCACTGAAAGACCACGGCCTCTAGATTTACAGAAGAATTCGAGCGGTCGTGGAAGAACAGGCTCAACCCCATAATAAACACACCATTAACTCGGCCACTGCTTTATGTTGAACAGTCCCAGCTTTTTGGTAAAAAGTATAGGTCATGTACCGCATATCATTTAGGCGTGACATCTGCTGAGTGATGAATTATATGTACTTCGCTTGAATATTCCTATCACGATGCTTCTGCGGAATGCATGAGTTCTGAGAGCTCGTCAAGGTGATGAAGATGATAATAGTAATGATGATGATGAGGATGATGATGATTCATGTCCGGCAGATTTACATCTACCAATCTCGTATCTTGCACGTCTGTTGCATCTGTAGAAGTTTGTTAATAGAGGTCTTGACGTTTTTTATTTCGACCTGAGTAAGGCCTTCGACGTAGTCAACCACAACATCCTATTATACAACCTTCCCTCCTACGGAGTATGTGGTTCGGTATACAACTTGTTAAAAAGCTATTTGTCCAATAGGCAAGCGTAGGTCCGTGTCAACAATACTACCTCGTCCTTGTACAAGGCAAGCTCTGGGGTGCCTCAGGGATCTGTCTTGGACCCCCTTCTTTTCAATCGTTTTGTAAATTATGTCTCTCAGGTTATATCAAACTCTTCATTTCTGCAGTACGCTGATGATATAAAACTTTACAAAAAAATATCGACCTTAGAGGATTGAATTACGCTTCAGAATGACGCATATTTCTTCGGTCATTGATGTTTCGACAATGACCTCCGTTTGAATCATACTGAATCAAATGTAATGACATATTCCCGCAAGACCTACGATAAATATTTTCCAAATTTATATCATAGCGAACTGCTGTCACGTGAACTGAGAGACATCGGTGTTGTTTTTTATACAACCCTGAGATCTGACACTCACGTTACCAGAGTGGTTCAATCGGCCTTGCGCACGTCAGGTGCCGCGTCTCGCATAACCAAGGAATTCAAAAGCCCGTCCGCTTTTTTCACGCTGCACTGTTCCGTAGATCCCAGCTAGAGTACACCTCGGTTGTTTGGAACGGCAATTTCAAAAGTAACAGTTTATTCGTCGAGCGAGTCCAAAACAAAAAATGAATTTTCATTTTTAAATATTGTTACCTTGAAAAAGGTTATCCTTGTTTAAACGTTAAATGTATGTATATACAATCGTATATACATACATTTAATGTACATATATAATACATACATTTAAATGTCTTTCTAGGATATAGATAGAGTACCCTAAAATACTGTAGAGAATCAGTAGCTAATACTGCTATGATGAAGCGCGAAACAAATATGTCACAGGCGTGAATCGTCATAACCCCGTTGTCCTTCCCCGCCCCTTTGGGATTGTATTTCTTCAATAGGAACCAAGTCCGAACTTTAAAATATGAAGTGTTGTTTTTCGCGCGGTATAGTGCACAACATATAACAATATTAAGAAAAATAATGAATACAAATGTACCTCGCTGCCTGAATCCAAATAAAACCACCCCTCTCCATGTTTTTATTTACACCTGGGACTGTTTGCCGTGATTTCCACTCCAATCACTGACTTTGATATTCTAATATTTTAGAGCTGCCTCCAGAAATCACTAGTCCAATGACAGACCAGACAGTTGCCAAAGATGACACCGCGAAGTTCACCATCGAACTGACCAAAGGAGATGCACTGGTTCGCTGGTTCAAAGATGGTGAGACGTACTCGGCCGATTATGTTTCGACGCGTCACTAAAACTTGTACGTTTGGTGCAGGGAAAGAGCTGCAGTTCAATGACCGTGTTCAGTTAAAGATTGACGGAAAGAAGCAGACCCTTGTAATCAAGCAATCAGTCACTCAGGACGCAGGACGCTACACCTGTAAGGTTGGGGACCAATCATGCAGTGCCAGGCTTACTGTAGAACGTAAGCACTCCATGTTTACTTAGATAACAACGTAAATAGGGAGGTTTTAATACTAGAAAATAAACAAAACTTGCTCAACTTTCAGCCCCATCTGTGCAATTCACTGCGAGGCTTCCAGAAAAAACGACCGTACCACAGGACACTGATGCTGTTTTCGAGGTTGCCTTATCCCAAGCTGATGTTGATGTTGTATGGATGAAAAATGGCAAACCCATTCCAATGGACCAACGGTAGATGTTTTTTTGTTGTTTTTTTCGGTTATCTCACCCTTGCATAAATGTCACATTCGTAGAACCATGCTTGGAAGATTCACAACAATAGAAGAGCAGAGCGCGAATTAGTCTTTCTGTACAAAATTGTAAATAGCGTATTTGACAGTGCTTCGCTTTTACGTGATGTAAACATTCATATCCCTCCTCGTTCCACTAAGACCCGCAGTGCTTTCAGCATTCACACTGTCTGTAAACCATCTCCTATGTCACGGATACAATCTCTGTTTATCAATATTCAATACTGAAAATGCCGAACCTGATATATACAGTGACATTAAGGTGTTCAGGAACCAAGTGAAAGTTCTTGTTGCCAAACTTTAAATATTGTGTGTTTGTTGCTTTGTGTTTGAAACCTGCAAGTGTGTTTTTCTTTTTTTCTGTTCATATTTATATATTTGTTCACCAAAAAGGATACCTTCATGGTGGTTTTTGGGCACGTAAAATAAATAAATAAATAAATAAATATTAAGTTTTCTACAACTGTTTACAGGTTCAAGTTTGTCAAAGAGGAAAAAGTGCGACGTCTTGTCGTTCCCTGCGTTGATAAAGACGACACTGCGGAGTACACATGTGTAGCGGGCAATGTCAAGACATCCACGCTTCTTCATGTGGAAGGTGAGCGCAAGACCTAACTGCATTAATTAGTTCCTTATCTCGGTTCCAAGATCGAGGCGTAATTATTTGCCTTTTGTATTAAAAAGAAACTGGTCTGTCAAGGTGCATCTTCTTAAAGGGCGTACGTATTTAACTCACCTACAGATGCTGAAGCAGAATTCACGCTCCGTCTTCGTGATGTAATTGTGCGTGAGAGCGATACAGTAACGTTACTCGTGGAGGTGTCACGGGAAACGCTAGAAGTTCGTTGGATGAAGGACGGCGACACCATCAACCCCACTGAAAAGGCAAGTCTTTCTTTTGGGTTTGCACTGCTCTTGTTTATATTTTTTGTACAGATACACAGCTTATCATGTACATAAAAAATCACTTAAAAATGTGTGCCAAAAAAAAGAAGAACCTTTGATTGTTTCGCGGTTAACTAAGAAAACTAATAACCGCTGGCCCAGTTTTTTCGCCAACTTTCTCCTTTCCTTTCCCCTTAATATTAAAGTAAGTAAAAAAAATGAATCACTCCCCTCCTCATTTATAATGTGTATATCGTTTACCAGGTGTTTGTAACGACAGAAGGCAAGAGCAGAAAGCTGATCATCCGAGAAAGTTCAATGGATGACCAAGGCGTCTACTCGTGCGTCCTCAAGGATAAAAAGTGTTCATCGTCCGTTGTTGTTCATGGCAAGTGAAACATATTTTGAATTGAGTTACATTAACGTTCGCATCTCTGACGTGATGTTTTCCCCACGTAACAGCTCCTCCGAGGATAACAACCGACAAACAAACGTTTTCGAGTAAGAAGGGGGAAACTCTCAGAATACCCATTCCTTATACTGGCATTCCACAACCAACTGAAACTTGGAAACTTGGCGATCGGCCTTTGGAGCCCGTGAAAAATAAAATCACCATGGACATGTCCCCAGAAGAGGTAAATTCATCGCATAAGACTTGAGTGACTTTATGCTTGCTCTTTAAAGAGAGCAGTTGTCGAAAATAATCAGTGCGCAGGCGAGCTGGGCGAAGTCTAACATGATGAATTTAACCCGAAACTAGGGCAGGAAGAAAATATCTTAAGAGTGGTAAAAAAAAAATAAACAGGGACTCTGCTTTTTTTTTACCACTGTCAGTATATTTTCATCCCACTGTAACACCTCAGGCTATGGTTCAGATGAATTAAGAAATTTTCAAGTCGAAGGAAAAGACACAAGTGAAAGAATGTCTCTTGAGACGCTCTCCTACTGTTGTCTTTTCCTTAGACTTGAAAGTTTCATTTTCTCGCACCACAGTCTCAGTTGTTACATTATGATAAATTATCACCAGCTCGCCTGCACACTCACTGTTTTTCAATAAGATATTTTTCCTCCTTCTGATCCAGTCTCAGGTTAAATTCATCATGGCTAGTGTAGCTTATTTTGGCTTGGCACCTTGGCCGTCTGTACCAGTAAAGCTAAAATCCTGAAACGAAAACGGTCTTCGTCCTTTAATGAAAAACCTTGTCTATTATGAATGCACTGTTTTGTCCAAACGTTATTTTATTGCGATACTTTCCAGGCAACAATCACTATCAAAAACTTGGAGCCAACAGATGCGGGAACTTTAACCCTTACTTTGAAAAACACCTGTGGAGAGTGCAGTAAGCCATTCACCATTCTTTGTATCGGTAAGTAAAACACTTTTTTATGCTTCGCACTGGCTAACGAGCTCGACACGGGCCAGGAGAGTTTCTGATCGCAAATACTAAAGTATGGTTGTTCCTGCTACCTTTGGCACTATAGACAAACCGGGCGCACCTGGAACACCTGAGGCTTCCGAGATCAAAAAAGATGGCTCCCTGACGTTGTCTTGGAAACCGCCCAAGTCTGATGGTGGTTCCAAGATCACAAATTACATAGTAGAGTTCCATGACCGCCAGAATCTTCGGTGGAGCACATTCTCTGACACTGTCCAAGACACATTCACCAAAGGTGCATTCCCTCTTCAGTTGTTGCAAAGTTCATAGCGTCGGGATTCAAATAAATTTGTGAGCCCATATTTTGCAGAATGATGCTATGCCTTTTAGTGCTGACACATTTTTTTGGTTTGTCAGTGACGGGGCTTACCCCTGGCGAAGAATACATGTTCCGGGTAACGGCAACGAACGAAGCAGGGAAAGGCGAACCGTCTCCTGGCACCAAGTACATTCGAATAGAGCCGAAAGGTAAGCCAATAAGTACTTCTCTAATCTGCCCAGTCTATCGTAGATACAAAAATTAATCGAAAGGTGTTGCTCAAGAAACATCATTAACGCACAACAAACAACAAGAAGCGAAAATCCGCGAAAGTATTCTGCTCATTTGTTCGAAACCAGCATACCCAAAACACACAGTAGGGTTTCTCAGTTTATACCGATCTGTAAAACAAAACACTTTTCGAGTGACTTTTTCGAGTTCATCTGTGACAGTCGAAGACATTGAACCTTATTTACATGCGCCAGCAAGAGGCTACTCAATTAAGTTTCATTACTTAATTTAAAACTGATCTACAGTAATTTAATAAAATTTAATACAAATAATATGTGACTTTTCTGAAAACAATTCCGAAGTCATTGAAGATTGGAAGCCAACAGAAATAAATGACGTTTTGAAAAAAAAAAACGCTGGGCGTCATAGTAACTTTTATCGAAAGAATTAACAGACTCTTTGTACAAAAGCGTGTTAGTGGATAAGCGAGTAATCATGAAGATTTACGACTTCAACGATAAAGATGAAATCCTAAATAAATGGGGAAAACTTAAAGGAACCAAGCTATCAGCAACGACTATGCAAATTTAACTGAAAATTAAGAAGTAATTACGTGAAATCGCAGCACCAAATAGGCCAACATAGTTTGCTCTACGAGCTCAAAATGAACAACGAAACATGTTTCTGGAATTTTGAGCTACATCAACGCCGTCATCAGCCTAGAATTGAGGTAGACGACTTACTGAAAACGATGGTAGACTCAAATCACCCCCGGAACTCATTAACATTTATTCTAAAAGTGTGCTTAATGAAAGTGATGGCCTGGAATTCCTCTTTCTTGCTCAATACACTCATGTTGTAGCGCATACGAAAACATGGCTTAATTCTGATATTGCAAGTAATTGCATTGTTACCTCTCACTATAAGTTAATCAGGTGTGACCAAACCACTATAGAGGATTGCTTTGGAAGGTGATATCAATTGCGTGGAACTCCAGTGCGATTGCGATGAAACGTCTCGTGCTGAGTACCTCTGGGGATCGTGCATTTCCTTTAGAAATTGTTTGTAGAATAGGCCACCAAACGCGCCAGTTGAGTTTTTGGGGTGCTTGAATAATTTTCTATGTAAACATGCAAATAGCGATACCATAATAATATTGACTAGAGACTTTGATATGCCATATATAATCTGGGATTCACTGGAAATTGGTGACGGTCTAATTAAGGAAATATATTAGATATCACGTTCAATCACAATCTTATCCAACTAGTGAATTAACACACGAGAAGCACTGATCACTCTCAGTCAGTATTGGACTTGGTCTTCATCACATACATTATACCTGATTACGAAGTCTATTACAACCATACAACAGTAGAATAGATATTTACTGACATTATTTTCTTTCTTTCTTTTTTGTAGAAGCGATGAACAATGCGATAAGCTTCCAGTGTGTGTGTGTAAACTCCTCAAACGTGCACCATTTATAATATATATCCGACACGCTGTTTAAACACAAGCCCGCGTTTGCCCACACCAGGTGTGGGCACAGCGCGTGCGTAGAAACCGAATTCACAGGAAGCGAAGCGTCTGCGCATGCGCCGTGCGTCGACAGCGCCACCACAGTTGCGTGACGTCACGGCCGCGTGTTGGTCTGTAGGATGTCCCATGTCACCAGGCTGGATCTAAAATGGATCGTAAAAATCGACGCCTGCACGTTTCAATTTATACTTTTCGTCAAAGGTGTATATCCCAGGTCGATTTTTTCTTGTAAAGTTGCAAAATGTAGCTCCCTTTCTGTAAAAAAATAGGGCCAAAAAACTTGCCAGGATTAACGGAGGACGGCGACGCAGACGACCGAGTCGAGTTGCGGGGTGCGTTTGGTGCGCGTATTGATAGATGGCGTCGGGAGCAGCAGCCGACCAGCGAAAAAAAAAAACGGAAGACACGCAGACGAAATCCGTTGGCAGCAAGAGTGCCATCGTTATGCAAACGCGTTTTTTTCTTTAATTTTTGCTTTTATTGCCCGCAGTTATTTTTTAACCAAAGGCACATTACAAAAAGATTGTTAATTTAATAAACCACGGTGGTCGCGAGCAGTCTCAATAAGGAGATCGCGCCATTTATCAATACGAGCGCCAAACCCGCCCCGCTCTTGGAATTGGCCGTCTGCGTCGCCGCCCGCCGTTAACCGTGGCAAGTTTCTTAGCCATATTTTTTTTTTTTTTTTTGCAGAAAGAGAGATACGCTTTGTAATTTTACAAAAAAAAAAAAAACGACTTGTGAAATACACTTTTGACGAAAACTTTAGATTGTTACGCGCAGGCGTCGATTTTTACGGTCCATTTTAGATCGAGACTGGTGATTTGGGATACCCTATATATGGAAACGTTGTTTTGTCAATAAAAATAACGTATGTAAATTAGTTTGAGTGAATATTACTGTTTCTAATTTTTCAAATATGTTCTTAAATGTGTAAATTTTAACTGAAATTGTACTATGCTTTGTTTGCGTCGTGCTCATGCTTTTATTTTTTGCAAGTACTAACTTACTGCGATATTTTGAGAAAATGTTTTGTTCGTTCAAAATGTGATGGAATTATATAAATATTTTTTAAACTTCTCTCGTAATGGCCTCCAAGGGAAAGAAAGAAATACATTTTTAAAATATCCATTAGATACTTCTGAAATATTTACTCGATTAGATCTATTGAAGGAAGCGTTTAACTATCATCTCTACCTAACAAAAAAAATGTTTTTATTAGATTAGAGTTTTATGCAATAATAGGAGCTGGTCTGTTTCCTATGCGAAGAGCAATTCGTCTGCTTCTGCCGCAGGGGTTGCAGTGGCGTCAGAACGACGCCAAATTCTGATTGGAATTAGATTTGATTGGAAGGATAGTGAGTAGACCTCAATGCTAGACGCCTTCAGGTTTACCCACTATTTTTTTTTTTTCAATTAGCTAATAAGAGCTTGGCGTTCTGAGATCATCGCCACCCCTCTGCAAGAAGCAGACGAACTTGCGCTCCGCTTTCCAAACAAAAATGCCGTTTTCGTATCGCAGTTCCGAACACCTTTAGAGAAAAGCAATACAATATAAAGCTGTGTCTGCTAGATCAAAACATCACAAACAATTAGTCTATCCAAAACTTCGCTTACCCGCGTTGCTATTTTTTTCTGGCTGAGTGAAGTACAAATAGAGGCGTTCACGCATAGCACTCGCAAGGGCTGCTCATTTTGCAGTTTTTAAATAGCATATTCATAATATTTTTGACACACGTATGTCCTGATTACCAGATAGCCTCAGTTTTTGCATTCTCTAAACCAGTGATTCTCAAATAGGGGTCCGCAGACCCTTTGTGGTCCGCGAAGGCATTCTAGGGGTCCACGAAGCAATGCATCATCAGACAAGCCCGGCAATATAAGTTTTCTTTTTTCAGATTGAGAAAAAACGTTCCGATTTTCGGGTTAGTTTTCTCGAATGTATGGTAATGAGAGAAGTCTACTTCACACAGCTCTTAGTTATACTCATTTATTAAATAATTAGCATAATTAACCGATATCTTTTACTTCCCCCCACCACGAACGGGGTCCACCATCATCTGCGCCGATCCACAAGGGGTCCGCGAAGCGTTAATTGTTGAGAAATACTGCTCTAAACTATGAAATATCGGAAAAGATTGTCATACAGAAAGTGAATTAAAGGTGCTCTAACAAGTTCAACACCTCTTCAGACATCTTTAGATTGGTAGATGCCTGCATATATAAACATTGACAGCGACCTAAACCTTCAAAGATCTATAATGCATGAAATGCATTACAGGACTTCAAATTTTCAGTTTTACCGCTAAATTTATCGGGGAAACTATAGTGGTGTATAGTTCACGTGGCGTCAGGTTACGTGACATCAATTTCCCCGCCAAATTTAGCAGGGAAACTAAATTGGTGTAGAAGTCACGTGACATCAGGTCAAGTGACATCAATTTCCCAACAAAATTTCCCCACAAAAATAAATTGGTGTATGGGTCACGTGACAGCAATTTTCCCGCCAAATTTAACGGGGAAATTAAATTGATGTATAGGTTACGGGATATCAATTTTCCCGCCATATTTAGCGAAGAAACTTAATTGGTGTATAGGATCACGTGAAATCAGTTTTCCTGCCGAATTTTACGGGGAAATTGAATTGGTGTATAGATCACGTAACGTAAATTTTCCCGCTAAATTTAGCGGGAAAACTGAATGGGTCGGTGGGTACCGTGACGTCACGTCACGTGACATCAAATCTCCCGCTAAATTTAGCGATGATGCTGAATTTGTGCATAGGTCACGTGAAATCGATTTCCCCGCTAAATTTAGCGGGAAATGCACGGACGCAAGGACGGACAAACGGGCCTAATAGGGAAGGGGGGGGGTAGCTTTGAATAGCATTTGATGTTTTAATAATGAGCTGCCTTTTCTTCCCTAGGAGGTGAGCCACCTGTAATATTAGAGCATCTTGCCGATAAATCTGTGGGTCTTAAAAAGCCTGCAGAATTAACCTGCAGAATTTCTGGAAACCCAACGCCTACAGTAAAATGGTAAGTGAGACGCTGCCTGTCCTTTTTCTGTCTTCCTTTGCGTTTTCCTTTTCTTGCCCCAGTCTCAGGTTTACAACCACGTTCAACTTACTCGCCTGCACTCTGACTATTTTTTCGTTGAAAGAGCTGTGCAACAAATTCAGTGCTTTGCTTAAATAATTGTGGGAGTTGGTGTCTCGATCCTTCTGAAGTAGAGCACAAAAAAAACGCTTTTGCCTACATGTCCCAGTTTTTATTTTAAAAATGGACGAAGATTGACGTTTTTGGCACCTCTGAACTCCTTCACCAACTTCCGAGTCACGTGCGCTGTGACGTGAAAGGGGGACGCGGGCTGTCCGGTGAAGCTCTCAGCGCCATCAGTGAGCAGCCAAAACTCACCCCCCTCGCGACCACGTGACCACGTACTTGCGCCATCCGGCTGTTTTCTGCGGCCGTCTAGAGTAACTGTATATACTCCGCTATACAGTTACTCTACGGCCGTCCGGCTTCTGGCGGCTCCTCGCGGTAGCAGATAGACCTGACGGTTTTGTTGATCTTGGACAGATGGCGCCACTGAAACTTCGTAAGATTAAAAACTTTGTCGATGATATCAGGTTTCTGACGTATTTATATTTATGTTGGACCACAAAGTGATTACCAAGAATGGACTAAACAACTTCCTTAAATATTCGCTTCAGCTGGCAGATTTCAACAATGTTTTCTTTCCAAATATGCCACAGCAGCTGTAAGAATTTAGACAACTAACTTGAGCTTCGCGATACTCTCTGGCAAGTTCAAGTCGCGAGCAGGCAAAACACCGAAACTAGACGCAAAGATAACGGCGGAAGTCTCGCCCGGAAGCGACGTCAGCCTCCGTAGCGGACGCGGGTAGCGAGTCACCGCGAACCAACGTTACTAGATTAACTCAGTTGTGGAACTCTCGCGGAAGGGGGTACCCCCCTCACTCACTTCAGTCCGCCTCCCGTCGCTCGATGCGCCATCTAGATTTTCGTTTACGAACTGTGTGTTCCATGGTGTATGGTGAAACGCCATCTAGACGCTACTTCTCGAAACGTACGTATCCCATTGAATAAACTGCAGTTACCAAAGCAGCCGTCCGGCGCGCGACGGGTGCTCAGCTTTCTGCGCTCCTTTTCTGTTAGTTTCGATATTTCGGGGAAGGGGGGGGGGGGGGGGGGGGGCCTTCTAAATCTTCCATTTTGCTGGGGCCTCCTCTCCCCCCTCCCCCTCATACAGCATTTTGTCATGCGCCCCCCCCCCCCCCCCCCCCCCCCCCCCCCGAATCAAAACCCTGGCTTCGTGCCTGATTCCATGCATTCTAAAATTTTCGCGATAAAAATCGGTGTCAGTTTTAATTTTATTACGCACGCAATACATGAGCATATATTCGATGTATCTCTTAAGAGAACGCAAATTCTTTTCTATCGCAGGTTGAAAAATGGTAAGGACTTAGTTATGATCACCAACTTTAGCGCCGATTTCAAAGACCAGAAAGCAACATTACGGATCAAAGAAGCCTCTACAAAATCTGGGGGAAAATACACGTGCAAGGCAACAAACACCCACGGATCTGCAGAATCAACGTGCACGCTTACAGTTGGAGGTGAGAAACATTCGAATTCCCACCACGTAAAAGCATGCAAACACTAATTTTAACACTCGATCCCCTATTCATCGCAAAGATCCAATGGCTTTAATAAAAGAGGCAATTCCATATCACTGGAACTTGAATCCCTATTTCAATTTGTTCGCTGGACGCATTCTTCACAGACCCTCCTCGGGCGGAGTTTGATGAAAGGCTCAAGAATGTGCGGATGCACAAGCAAGAAGAATTCCAGGTGGTCGCCACCATACACGGATTCCCCGCCCCGACGGCGGCGTGGCTGTACAATGGAGCCCCGCTGCAATCCACCAAGCACACCCTGATCACCGATAAGGAAGGCACATCCACCATCACCATTCACAGCACAGAGGGACCCGACTCGGGTATCTACACCCTGCAGCTCAACAACCCTGCTGGCAGCGCCACTTACGAGTTCAAGCTCAGGGTGTTGGGTCAGTACCTGCAAACGTTTTGCTGCCAGGAAACACCGAAACAAAACCATGACTGGAACTGTATGCCGCGGCAAAATTAGCCAAGGTGCTCGCAGTGACGCCTGAATAGAATGTTGACTGCTTGTGCCAATGTTGGCATTCAACGTGTCCTACTGAAAGACAGATGAGATTGTGACGTGGCAAAAGTGAGGGGTCCTTTGACGTCACCAAGAGGGTACATCAGTGCAGAAAAAAACGTGAATCGAGCAAAAGCCTTAAATAATGTCTACAATACTTTTTTTTTTTTTTGAGCGGTAAAACGCGGAAATGAACTTGATCTCCACTCGTACCAGAAAAACAAAAGTGGGTTTCGAACACTACTTTTTTTTTTCTTTTTTTTTTTTTTTAATGTACGTTAAACAAGATTGAACATTCGTAAACTCCGCTCTCAATCCGCGATAAAACGAAAAGTGATGAGCAGCGACTTGCTCCTTTCATCAATGTCTGTCTTTCCTAAAAAAAACTTTGAATGCTGCTCGAGAAAGGACATTTTTATCTACATCCGCTTCGTAAGTGATCGAAAGGTAGAAATAATTTTACTTGGAGGTTGTAATAAGCCGTTTGTGTTGATTGTTTTCAGACAAGCCAGGCCCTCCGGAGGGACCAATTCAATTCCCAGAAACTGCGGGAGACCATGTCACCCTGTCGTGGGAACCACCCTTGGACGATGGTGGATCTGCCGTCACAACTTATATCGTAGAACGCTGCGAGACGACACGAACAGTATTTGTCGAGGTACACTTTTGTTGTTCCTACCTCCAGGCATACAGATGGCCAACATTGCGAGACATTTCATCTTCATTGCCTGCCCCCCCCCCCCCCCTTGCATTTAAACGTTAATGATGTATCGACCGACGCACCATAGGTATGTCCTTCTATAAACGATTGCAAGCAGGACATCTGGCGACCGCCGTGCCTCTGCTCGTGCTGGCAAGTGTGTGCATTTACGAGCTTGCCAATGCTACGTCCACGTGCACGCTGCACATGCTTGCACGCATGGGGCACCAGTAAGACGCCATGCTTGCCATTGTCAATGCAAAAATAAATAAATTACTGAGACGCGAGGCACGAGGCTCGGAGAGCGCGTGAGGGGAACGCGCAGAATCGAAAGCGCAAAATATAATGCTCATATAGCCACAAAAGCAACCGGACGTTCGATCTGGTTTCTTCGCTCAGTTTATGCACCGAGAAACTGAGGGAGAGGAGGAGGCGAGAGGGACGTTAGAACGCCGAGCTCTGATTGGATTGATTAGAGGGTAGACCTAAGGCTAGCTGCCTGTGTCTCCATCGCACTCGTCGAACGCGTTACGCGGAACACCGGCGTCCGGCGTTAGGCTCTCGCATTCGAACGCATTCCCCAGAGGGGATTCGCAAAATCATCCCTTTCTGAGCTTTTTCCTTTGAAGTGCTGTAGAACCGAAAAAAAAAAAAAAACGCTTCCACGTCCGAAATTGGCTAGATTCAAAGTTGTAAAACGATCAAAGGTGCGGTATTCATGACACCATTACTATGGTGCGCGTCTCGTATATCTGGGTGGTGACCAGGGTTGTAAAAGTTAGTGCGAAATTGTACCTAAGATACAGTTACGGTTATACATCCGAAAAGGTACGTAGGTACGTACCTAAATACTCGCTTAAAAATGTACCTACGTTAAAAATGTACGTACAGGTACAGTTGATTCAAAGATACTTTATTTATTTTCCCAAAATTTGTCACAATATATTGGTAGCAAAGCTTTTTATACCAAGGATACACACAAAAACGAGTTCATAAATGTGCTTTATTGGTGTCAATCCGATATCCTCATCGGAGTTGAGTCCTCACGTGCCTTATCCCCACGCTCCAATTGGTTTACCGAGGCCACAGCTTCCACTGTTTACCATGTCACGCCGAAACCGCCGAAACTCGCTTGTTGACGTTCTTGCCCTCAGAGCCGGAGCTGACGTCGACGGGCCCAGAAGACGTCGGCCGCATGAAAAAACGCATGAGTCGAGTGCATATGCACCTAACCTTCGCGACAACAAACAAAACGCTTCAAGCTTTTTTTTTTTTCTTTCGGAACTTTTTCAGTTTTCTTAACTGCAAAGTTTGAGTCTGATTTATTGAGTGGAAACTGTATTATATACGCAATATGACATTACTTTACGATTTTAATTATAGTGTATCGTAAATTATATTGTATAATGTATTTACGGCAAAAGAGAGCCACCTCCTTGACAAGATACAGGCAACAGAAATTGGGCACGTTTTTCAAGTTATCTCCTCCCTTGTATAGCTGTCAGAGGAGCTTCAAACACGCAATGAAGTCGACTTCGGTTTGATATGAAGGAAGCAGGTCACTATTTTCCCTAAACGGAGTTCCGAAGCGAGTCGATAAATTGGTGTCGCTAGAACGGCATCCCTAATCTACCGTTCGCTCAAATGAACACCGCCATTCGCTAAAGTGTCGTTTGATGAAACATCATGGGCGGGGCTTCATTCGCTAAAACGTCGTTCGATCAAGTCAGTGCCTCCCAGGTCATACCCAACTCAACGTCAATCACGGCACATGGTGGCTGCCGAACGTTTACCTTTGATACCGAGAAACGAAAGCACCTAGGTTTGTACCTCAGATACAACGAAAGTACCTAGATACCGATTTCCAGTTACTTATACCTAGGTACTTTACGACCCTGGTGGTGGCATCAGATCACCTTCATCAGACCACAGCACTTCTGTTCTTTTTTTTTTTTTTTTTGCGCAAGGAAACGGCGTTTTCCGGCTTGAGCTTTTAGCGTCTTAGCTCTGACTTGTGCCACGGTGGCGTTTGGATTTTTGCTGTTTCTATGTATGTTTCCTCTGATCGCGTGCGGCACCAGAGCCGGCAAGCTACTGCACACGTGACTGTTTCAGAAGCGCAGATTTGTACTACTCTTTACCGATAAACAAGTTGTTTTTCGCGGCGTCTCCTTGGCAACAAGTAGGTTATGATTATGAGCGTTAGTGCAGGTTGTTCAGCTTCAGTGCGTCGGTATACAGTGTACGCTGAATGATAACTTTACTGAAGCTTATATTGCGGTCAAGACAAACCGTCCCGAAGAAATTACACCCTTTCGAGAAAATAGTGAAACTAATTTTGGCATGTGCCAAAATACCAAATACAAAATAAATAAAGTCTCACGTTATTACAATCCTCTGTAATAATACATCTCTTTAATATTGTGGAAGAAATGCAAGGTTTTCCAGGAGCTGTCCTTAGGACCCAATGCTAACAGATAAGTCGGACCTAATATAAAAAATACAAGTTTTTTTATATAAGTATTAATTAGTATTGCCTTAATGTCATGTACAGTTCTTCCGGGAAACATAAAGATTTATGCAGTTGTTCGTCTAAAATAATTTTTTTCAAGAGTTTTGCTTTCAACTTCCGGGAGAGGGCGCAAAGGGTGAATGACCGAGAATACTGGGGATGTGAGAAAAGAGGCATTTTTAGACAACGCAGTGTTATCCACGCAGTATCCTGAGTTGTAAATAAAACAAATCTCAATTGGAAAAAAAAGAAGCGCCTGACAGCCTATACATTATCTTCAATCATATAAAGCTGTAATCCTGTTTGGAAATGGCCTCTCCCACGTATCAAGTATCAACGAAAAGTATTTTCATGAAATGGGATCTAACCAGAAATTTAGCACGAATGGGTAAGCCTTGTTCGTTCCCTTCTTACAGCCATTATATGTTTTTTTTTTGTTTATTCCAGGTGGGCACGACACAGTCAGATACTACCTACCTGAAGGATCCAAGTGTTACCGAAGGCAGCGAATACCGCTACAGGGTTAAGGCCGTCAATGAGTATGGCATAAGCGAACCCCTCACATCAGATCCCGTCACGGCTCGCTGTCCCTATGGTGTGTATATATTAACTAAGTATCTGAATGACCTACGAGAGTAACTTGTAGCCCTATTCTTTAAAATAGTCACGGCTGTAGAGGTACTTTGCTTGGGGAGCTTCTAACACTCTTCGTTTCCTCCTTTCTTTCAAAAGACAAACCCAGCCCCCCTCAGGGTCCACTCACAGCTGCCCAGGTGACAGACACATCCCTAATGCTCACCTGGAAGGAACCCCTATCCGACGGCGGCAGGCCTGTGCTCGACTATACGGTCGAAAAGCGCGATGCTTCCAAGAAGGCTTGGCTGAAAGTGGGGACCACGGAAAGCTTTTCAATGGAAGTCCCTAACCTCAAGCCAGACAACGCGTATGTTCTCTTCTGTTTCGCTGCTACTGACTGACCGTCACACGTTACAGATATCTATACCGACAGCTCTCTCGATGGCTGGGCATAGTCAGCCCCTTCCATCCTTGTGGCATGCCTCAGTCTTTGATAGTACAGCTTTAATATTACTTGCACAACCTTTAGTACAAATAGAGTGACCACATTTGCATGCTCTCTTAACTTCCTGGGCCACCGCAAACTATGGTAAATTAACGACGTCCAGTGGTGTTAGAGGGTCCGCAGAAGCTACTTTTTCAGTATACGTCAAGGATACTTAACTTCAAATATGAGTAATGATCACAAATACTGACATGCCCGGTCCCTCAGTAGAAATAAAAGAAAAACAATTGAACTGGTTGCTCGAGGATGATCCGTATTTTGCAGGTATGTGTTCCGGGTGACCTGCCGCAACGATATCGGCAGCAGCTCCCCACTCACAGGCGACGAACCAGTCGCAGTTCAAAGTCAAATACGTGAGTCAGACGGCTTACATATTGCACTCATGTTACGATTTGCGTTTTCTGTGCAATAATGGCTCTAAACCACCATTATGCAAGTAGATAGTAGGGATCACGCCCTTTGTGTTACTGCATCAGTCAAGTAAAAAATACAAATCAACTTAAACGAGACTGATTACAACATTAAAAAAAGTCGCTGATTGCTGCCTCCCAGCATACTCATCTAACCGAAGAAAAACACATTAGGCACGGTCGATATGCTTACGCCGGTGTACACCGATGCAGAAAGTGTGGTTCTGGTGAAAGGCGGTTCACTGCTAAAGTGTGTTGCAAGATCGACTGCACGCGTTGCCAATCGAGTAGGGCGGTGGATATTAAGTGTACACACTGAAATGGAAAATGTAGCTAATCTAAAGCGGAATCGGTGGCCGAGTGGGTTAGGGCACACCAGCTCGGAGCACCTGGAGTGGAAGCTCGCGCTGACCCACGTATCCTGGGTTCGATCCACACCCCTGGCCGTTTCGATGTGGATGAGCATCGTACCGGCGTGCGGTCGTGTATCACTACTGCTTGGTGCACGTTAGACCCCAGGCTAGCGGTTGTACTGCACTGGCTGAATTTCTCATCTACAGCTGAGAGACAAGTCGCCCGTTGAGACAGACTAAGTTCAGGCTGTTTAAACATACACACAACACAATTAATTAGCTAATTCAAAGGCATACCTGTCTACAACAGAGCCACCTGGTGCCCCGAGAGGTCCCCTGCGCATCTCGGACGCCACTAACAAGACCACCACCCTTTCGTGGAACCCGCCAACCTTCAATGGAGGATCTCCCATCACTGCTTACATCGTGGACCACCTCAGTGAGGACGATGCGGCCAGAGATCCTCCGAACTGGGTCACTGTAGCCAACGTTGACGGAACAGTGACGACACACCGGGTCCTAGCCCTGAGCGACAAGACCAGACACAGGTTCCGAGTCCGGGCGGAGAATGCTGCCGGAGTCGGACCACCGCTCGAGGACAGTGGAGAATGGCAATCCCTACCAGCAGCAGCTGGTGAGTGTGTCCGGGAAAATATCACTAATGTTGGTCCTCACTCCACATCTTTTATTTTTTTCCTAGAACGACCAACTCCGCCCACGGCGCCACTTGAGATCTTCATCACAGGACCGAACTCGATGGAAGTGTCATGGGGAAGGCCCGAATGGGACGGTGGTTCTCCGCTACTGGGTTACACAGCAGCTTTGAGAGACACTACGAGAACGATGTGGATGGAGGCGAGTCCCTAAAGCTTTGGGACAGGCAAACTGAACGGATTAAGGTTAACGCTCTCTTTTCCTTCTTCCTACCCAACAGGTGGGCCAGGTAGATGCTGAGACTCTGCGCCTTCATATCCGGGATCTCGAAGAAGGAGCACAATACCACGTACGCATTTTGGCTCGAAACGAGGTGGGATTCTCTGACCCACTGGAGTTGGAAGAGCCCATCACCATCGTAAGGCCTCCAGGTAAGCACAAAGGCCTAAACAAGTAGCTCCTTAACTTTTTGATCCGCCTAAGAACCAAAGGCGTAATTTACAATGTGCACATGTTTTTAAACCGGTTGCTTTATAGAGCTAACCTCCGGAGCCGCGTTAACACGAAATGTGTAGGTCAGTCAGTTGATAACCGCTAAACAATCTTGAAAGAAAAAAAAACAAAAACGGCAATTATTGTTAGGGGTTCAACTCTGGTCACCGGAGAGAAAGCCGAGTGCGCTACCGACTGAGCTACGGGCCCAGCACGAAGGAACGCGAGTAGCAGAAGCAGGGCCGGCCCTAGGAGTGGGCGACCTGTGCGGTCGCCCAGGGCGCCATCAATAGGGGGGCGCCGCCGCGCACCCTATTTTTTTTTTTTTATTTTAACACAGCGCTTCTTGTTTTTTGTATGCGGTTCTTGTCTGACAAAACGCCCAGGGCGCTTGACGATGTAAGGCCGGCCCTGAGCAGAAGCAGGTAGTGTGAGAAAGCGCGCGGAGCGGAGAAGGGTGGAAAGGGCAAGCGAGAGAGCAGCAGAAACAAGTGGTGTAGAAAGAGAACGCAGAACGAGAAGTGAAAAGGATAGGAAGCCGCTTCCTCTCTCTGGGTGACCCAGAAAATTCAGCGCAAACGATCTGTATCCAGATGGTGCTGAAGGGAACCGCGCGCAGCGTCCCAAGAAGACAACAGTGTCACATAATCTGTTTTCGTACAAAACCTTGCCCTAGGCACCACCTAAACTAAAAGCATTATCCACCCCAGGCACTGAAAGACTAAGGATGATCCTGCTCTAGGCACCACCAGAACTAACGCCGCATTTACGCTGGCGACAAATACAATTTAACGCGCGTTTGATGATGAAAATAAGCGGATCCGCTTCGTGGTTCCGATTCGAACACCAGCGTGAATACCCACCTTAGAAAGCACGTTTGGCAAAATGGCCAAACATGCAGCCAATTTTCTTAGTCTTTTTTTTTTTTTGCGTGTGGGATTAAGTAGCTAAAGTACAACCAGAAAGTCATGCGATGTAAATCCTATTTTAAATTTAGTTGAAATCGTCGCCTGCACTGTGCCTTCCGTTAGGTTGAACCGTGGGTCCCAATGGGCCATGTGGCTCAATGTAACGCTAGCACCTCTATCGAAAACTCCGGGGTATTCCCAGACCACCCTCATGACTCGTCATGTTGAGAACGTCGGCATCAGAATATTCTTTCACGTCTTTCGCTGTTTCTTCATTGCAGCGCAGGCCGAATTTCAAATTATATTATATTTTAAAAACTCCCTTGGGACGCCATAACTGCTTCATCATCATTGGCGTTGTAAAAAGTAAACGAAATCGCATGATGCCCGTGTTCAGATCACGAATTCCAAGCTACAAACTGAACACCGAACTTTGCATTCCTTGATCGTGGTGTTTGAAATGAGGATTTATTACAGGATTCCAAGACCAAGCTGCAGCATCACCAGAGAAGAAGCCGAAGGCGAAGCCGGACGAACTGTCGGAAATGAGTTGTACGACCGAAACGACATCATCTTGGATACGAGAGGCCAATGTGGAGCCTCTACTGCATAGTTACACCAAGCATGTGCTAGTAAGCCGTAATGAGTATTTCTTTAGGCTTTGGCACTACGCTGACACGCTGTTCAAGTGAAGCTGCTATCCCTGTATCACTAGTTCATGGCTGAAAAGAACCGGATAACGTGTTGTGTGATAGCTAGGTTTCTGGGAGTTTGACGAAAAACGAGGTGAGAGCACAATTTCGTTTAAAGCAGTTTAGTTCTGCTGTGTATCATTTTCAAGTTTGTACATTTTCTTGCGCTTTTTACCATTGTTTTGTAACATACTGAGATCAATGGCCGTTGATGACCACTTCGTGACATCGAAGTATTTCCTAAGAGCACCTTGTGACATGACACACACGAGCTGAATTGCCTTGCGTTATTTTGCTCGTGTACTACTCATAACGCACAGAAGGGACCCTTGAAAACAAATGCAGTAGCTGCAACTGGTACAATTTTGTGGCAATCCTCACAAGTTCTCCTGCAACTTGGCTGCAATTTTGTGCCAATTTCACCTGCGCGTTGGAGGGGGAGTACGAGTATACTGGAAGTGCGTTGTGTTGCTTGTCAATAAAGTTGTGTTATTGTTGAGTATGTGTCATTGGTAATTTTTTTTAATTCTCATTAAATCAGTATCTGTTAAAACTCCGGGCCACTACCTTTGAATCACCTAAATATTAGGGCAGAGGGGAGCATCATAATGAAAAGAAAATGCAACGTGGCATACCCATCAATAAATAAACAAGTGCTAATGAATCTTCAGAACAGAGGTTGACATTTCAGTGAGTCACGCACTTCTTCAAGGCGCGAAATTTTTTCGCAACGGCTGAGAAGCTCCCAGTACAGCTCTCCCAACTTTCCGTCTTCTGTTACATTTCTTCAGGTCGCTTGGACCAACATATCTTTGTTTTCCATCTCCAGAAGAAATGTTCGTATCTCTGCCTGTGTACGTATAATGCTGCGCGTCAGTTGCTTCGCCTGTTTTGTCACAAACCTAAGATTACGTATTTCATGCCCCGCTGTGGGCACTACCACCCTCCTTTATTCTAGAAATTCTCTCAATTCCATGGCGGAGCCATTGAACGCCCGGCCGCCGGAAAAAGGCGTGGAGCAGCGCCGAACGGTTACAGATGTGGTAGCGCAGAACCACTTGTGAGGTGATCCCTCAGCGAGCGCGCCAAAAATACGCGCGGTGGCCTCTACGCAAAACAACAAACCACAACGGACAAAAAAAAAAAATTTCAGCCTTTTCACTTTGGTGAAGAAGGAAGACCAGCGAAGCTGTTCTATGGTTGGAATGAAGAAATGGCCGGCCGCAAGTCGGCAAGCCAGAGTGGAAAGGCTGGAAAGGTTACTGTCCGACGCAAGCTAGACAGAGGTTCATACTCTCGCATCAGGGAGATCAATTAGAGGGAGATGATACGATACAATATATAGGAGCAGTGATGGAGGAGAAATGTCGGGAACGGGTACATGTGGAAGATAGGAGAACCGAAGGAAGTAGCAGTCCAGTTTGTGACATCGCGGATTTTGGACAAAGAGAATGGGAAAAGGCGGAACGAAGAGTCCCTAGGGCACGTCGACAGGCACAGATGGTATCCCAATCAAGCTGGTGAAGAATTTGGGTCCTAAATCTAAGGCAAAACTAAGGGAGGTAGTGGGTACCATGATAACAGAAGGAAATATTCCACATGAATGGAGGCTTAGTAGGAGGAGTATGATATATAAGGGAAAGGGAGATAAGTCTGATATTAGGAATTATCGTCCCATAATCGTGACACCGGTTATTTACAGGTTGGTAATGCAGATTATAAAGAACAGACTGGGAGGAATGGGTAGACTGCGAGGGCATACTGGGCGAGTTACAGAACGGGTTTTGGAAACCAAGAAGGTTGGAGGACAATTTATTTTCTCTGACACAGTGTAAAGAAATAGCGCAAAAAGAAAACAGACAGCTCCGGCTGGCATTTCTGGATATCAAGGGTGCCCATGACAATGTGAACCAAAGGAACCTGTGGGACATAATGGAGAGCTTAAACCTAGATGAAGGACTAACAGCACTATTAAGGAACATTTACAAAGATAACAAGGTGATTATAACATGGGAAGGAAAGGCGACAGGGAAAATAGAGATAAGACGAGGCCTTAGGCAGGGGTGCCCGTTATCGCCTTTGCTGTTTATGTTGTATCTGAGAGGATTGGAGGATAGACTAGAGAATAGTGGGCTTGGATTCAACCTTTCTTACAGTAAGCTAGGCAAAAAATTCGGCAATCCTTACCGGGATTGATGTATGCGGATGATATCGTACTAATGGCTAACAACAGGACAGAGTTGCAGGAATTAATGCGCATCTGTGGTAGGTAAGGAGAGGAATTAGGTTTAGAATTCAGTAAAAGTCAAATTTGGGGGTTTTAAGTGCCAAACCTACGACGGGCTGAGGACTGAGGATTAATTTCGACCACCTGGGGATCTTTTGACGTGCAACCGAAAGCTCAGTTACACGGCGCCTTCTCCGCAATAAGCCTCCGTCATATTGCGGGCACCTCTGTCGGGATTCGAACCCGCCACCTGGGGATCCGTAGGCCGGCGCTCTCGCCTCAAAGCCACCGAGGCTTTTTTTTTTTTTTTTATTTAGCGCTAAAAAATAGACTACCCAGATCTTTTGGGCAGCTGTAGAGTTAAAAATCCTTCATACACAACAGCACATGCAACAGGCTTGCCCAGTCAGGCGTTGCGTCCGTACATTCAAATACACTCTTCACTTGAGTAACAAGATCAGTGAAACACTGTGGAGCAGATTTTGGTTTCTCCACTGCATGGCGGACATCCATACGAGATTTCCGCAAAGCAAACAAACTTAACACCATGATCATATCGAGCGGGACACTCATGTTTGTTAACAGGGAGGAACCGAATAGAATGTGATGTTATATCTATGTTCTTCTTTATGGTGCGCTTTAGGACGTCCCAGAACATGATTGCGTCCCAGCAGTCTATGAATACATGCTCAACTGTCTCAGGCTGCTTGCACAGTAGACAGTTAGCACCCCAAGGTAAAAACATACCTCTCTCAGCCATCCATACTTTAACTGGCAGTGTGGCACTGTGCAGCCGGAAAAAGAAGGATTTCGCCGCTGGAGGGATCCACATGTTCTTTACACGAACCAAGACATCATCACCAGGCATGTTAATGAACAAAGTTCTGTACAACGGAGCGGGGAAGAGACTATCAATTAGATCTTTGGTCAACTTTTTTCTGGTGACAGTGAACAAATATTCCCGCGAGTAACGCGCCATTAAGAATTCTAAGGCATTCACCACCTCCTTCACAAAACCAACCTTCTTAGCGGGGGGACCAATGGTAGAAGAAACCAGAACGGAAGGCAAGTGAGGAGCTATTCTTGTCTGAAACATTACTTGCAAAAGGGGATGTTTTTGGTTTCTCAAGAAAAGAAAACGTGAAACAATTTGTCGGACAAATAGGTGGGATAAACCGAGTCCTCCTTTTGACACTGGACGAAAGAGGTTATCGCGTCTCATTGGTTCCCCCGTGCTTTTCCATATGAAAACAGCAAACACTCTATGCATTTTTTGTATACTATTTCGTGCACAGTGTAGGACTTGTAGTACATACCATAACTTGGCGATTAGAAAAACATTGCAGACAGTGGCCCTAGCAAATATCGACATGTCGCGGCCACACCATTTGGTTGCCCGCTCTCTTAAATCCTCAACAACGTCCGCCCAATATTCTGAATTAGTTTGCATATATTGTAGTGGGGTTCCAAGGTATTTACTTGGAACGCAGCTCCATTTAACACCTCTGAAATATTGAGGCGTGGTATCCCACTCACCGTACCAGGTACCATTACATTTGTCAACATTAACAACGGCACCGGTTGCTTTGCAAAATAGTGTACACAGTTCTAAAACACTAGCCACACTCTCTTTGTTACTACAGAACACAGCAATGTTATCTGCATACGCTAGTACCTTAGTTTCTACGTCACCCATCCGAAAACCTTGAACTTGTTTCGACCGAATAATACTTAAACACAGTGGTTCCAAATAAAGAGAAAACAATAAAGGCGACATTGGGCAGCCCTGGCGTACCGAGGAAAAAACATTTATAGCGGGAGACAATGAATTGTTTATAATTAATTTCGTCGTGCACCCCTTATAAGCCATTTCAACACCTTCGATTATAATCTTTCCCATATTAGCCCGGTCCAAAACCTCCCAAAGAACGTCGTAACACACCTTGTCGAACGCCTTTGCTAAATCAATTTGGAGCATTGCAATTGAACTTCTTTCAGCTGAAGAGCTTTCCAAAATAGTCCGCGCCACGTGAATGTTTGTCTGGATAGACCTGCCTTTAATTCCACAGGTCTGGTGTATTCTGACCAGCCTGCAAATCACATGCTGAATTCGTCTATCTGGAATTCTGGCAAAACCTTTATCGTCAACATTAGAAAGTGCTATAGGTCTATAACCAGTTACGCGCTGTCGCACACTTATATCATCTAATTTGGGAATTAGCACTCTGTGTGACCGAAGGAACGATGGGGGTAAAGTTTGAAAATCATACGCTTCATGTACTACCCTGAGGAGAAACGGAGACAGGACGTTCTTAAATTTCTGGTAAAACTCTCCTCCAAGACCATCCGGGCCAGGTGTCTTGTGTGACGCTAAGCCGTCAATCGCGCTTTCTACTTCACTCAACGTGATAGGTTCCTCGAGCCACTCTTTCTCCTCATTTGATAACTCGGGCGCTTCCAGAAGCATCGTCTTAATATCTCTCATACTCGTCGGCATATCCTGGCCTCCAAAAAGCTGCTCGTAATACTTGACGAAAGCGAGTTCAATTATATCTTTGTCAGTGCTGATAACAACTTGATGCTAAACGGCGGTGATTTCTTTATCTAAAGCGTACTTCCTTTCACCCGCCAAGGCGCGGCTAGTGGGCTGTTCCCCCAAAAGAAATTTGCGTGCTCTTGCTCGGACTATCGCACCGCGATAGCGTTCTTGGTGAAAGCCGTCAAGTCTTGCTTGCGCTTCTTTAATCGCCGAGTAATGCAGACCGGAATGTTTTTGTTCGTCCTGCATTAGGCTAAACAAATATTTGCTCATCATCCTCTCTTCGCTTTTGGCGTGGAACTTTAAAACAGACGACCTTTCTATAGCCCGTGATTTAACTTCTTGCTTAAAGTATTCCCACATTTCCATGCAACTCATGGTATTATCTGCGAGCACCGCCTCAAAAGCTTCTTTTACTCCTTTACAGAAAGTCTCGTCATTTAACAAATTAACATTTAATTTCCATAGTTCCCATTTGAAATTCGGTGCCCTCTTCTTTCCGCACCCCAACGTAACCGTGACAAGGGAGTGATCGCTGAAAAAGAGCGGTTTCACGTGATAGTCTGAGACGATATTGCATATCTCTGCCGAAACATAACTCCTATCCAAACGCGCGTGGGACGACTGCTGGAAATGGGTAAAACGAAATTCTTTTCCCGAATTCTGGAGATGGGCTACGTCTTCTAATTTATATTCATTTATCAGGTCATTCAAAACTGTAGCACTCCAATCG